TCAGGCAACAATGAGTGGACACTGACCCAACCTGCCACAGGTGGGCCGGTGACCTTGGAGTGTAACAACAGATAAGAAAGTTGGTCTGTACCTGACCCCTAGCCGTCACTGTAAGCCTACAGATACCACCCCCTCCCCTTCCCGACACTCAAACACGCTCTCAATAAAAATAGTCATTTATTTATACAGAAACTTTATTGGAGGGGACTTAAACATTCCTTCTAATACGTTGTGTGGGGCTTCCTACGAGGCTAAGGGTCGGCCCCTTCTTCCAGCCAGAGGTGGTACTCCCTTCCCTGTGTATTATTATTATTATTATTTAATGCAATATTAGACACTACAGGTCCAAGGCTTGTGAACTACTGTGTTATCAGTGCACAAATACATGTAGTATATAGCGTGCTTACCTCTAATATTGGCACGGTCAGTTGCTTGTCAGTTTATTAACCAGCTTAGGTATACACAGCAATGTGCTGCTAGCCTGTTCTGTATGAAAGATTACACAGTGTAGATCAAGAACTAGCTATGAATTCATCTAATATTCCCATCTGACAGGATGGTTAGTCATACATGGAGTCAGGAGTGAACATGAAGTGTTAGGCTGTTCCTCCAGCCTCCACTAGCAAAATCTGGTTACAACACAAGAATATCTTCCAATATTCCTGAGTGGTATATAGTAGTCTTAATTATGCAAAACTTGTTTTATTTGAATTAAGACAAACGTTCCAACAAGGGTAGAATATATATAATAGCCTATAGTTTCCACTGAGCTCTTCTATGTAGTAATAGTAATAATAATAATAATAATCCAGCCCATCCTCCTGTTTAGATGGTACTTGTAGTAACGACCTGAACCATCTTACATGTGCTGACGTAATGAACAATTAGACAGTAGAATTTGGTACTATTGAATTTTGGACAAACTGGAAAAGATTGTGTATATATTGCTAATAAAACCTAACCAATATAATATATAATATATATAATCAGTGTATATATAATCATGTATATATAATATCATATAAAGGTGCCAGTGTTGGAGGTATGAGCCCGGGACGGAGCGCGAACTGGTATAAACTGGAGAAGTTCAGATTTCGGAAGACCTGGGTAAATACTGGTTCGATAACAGGGTTGTTGATTTGTGGGGACTAGTTGCCACGTAGCGTGGTGGAGGTGGGGTCACTTGATTGTTTCAAGCGTGGGTTGGACATGTATATGCGTGGGAATAGGTGGTTATAATTAGGAGTTGCCCCGTATGGGCCAATAGGCCTTCTGCAGTTATCTATCTTATAATATATATACAGTATTGGAATCATTGCACAATTTAGGAGCCTTTTATTTGCGGTACTTCCCGTGTGGTGACCGAGGGGTGATTTGTATTGCACTTATGAGTTTTATAAATATACCAGAGTGTAATTTTATATATAACATGTTCAAGGATTTAAATAAAGGTGCTGCGCGCTGCCTGGGGTTAGATTGTTATTGTTCTAACTGCTGATTTATGTTCAGTAATTGTCCAAGATAATTTTGATTTGCGGATTCATGGGTGAAGATCCCGTGAGCTATACCCATGAGGAGACGGTTCAATGGGTTTATAACCGATGGGTATAAAAACGCTTTCTGTTCTACATTGTGGCTAGTTGAGCTTGAAGCTGTTGCCCCTAGTGTGTGTGTGTGTTACATTTGACCTGTTAGAGAAGTAGGATGGATTAATTTCCTCCAACTTGTTCGCTATATTAAAGGTCTATGAAATTAGGCCTCTCATGTCTAAGTTTGTAGTGCTGTGAATCCTGTGGGCTTCAACCTTTGCTGTTATGAGGTTCTAGGATGATTTTTGTCGCACTGTTGCACTTTTTCCAAACGAGATATAAAATTCCAGTACGTAAGAACATAAGAACAAAGGCAACTGCAGAAGGCCTATTGGCCCATAAGAGGCAGCTCCTATCTATAACCACCCAATCCCACTCGTATACATGTCCAACCCACGCTGGAAACAGTCAAGGGACCCCACCTCCACCACGTTACGCGGTAATTGGTTCCACAAATCAACAACCCTGTTACCGAACCAGTATTTACCCAAGTCTTTCCTAAATCTAAATTTATCCAATTTATACCCATTGTTTCGTGCTCTGCCTTGTATTGATACTTTTAATACCCTAAATTGAGGTATTTACGTTTATTGAGGTAATGAAATACAGCTCAAAGGGATAGAGTAATTAGGTTATTTTTACCTTCGTCTATTTAAGGTCCCTCGTGGGACTCGTAAATCCATAAAGTACACAAATATTAATCTTATTTTACATTTCACATTCCAATAGTATTCACTGTTATCACTTACTGATATGCTGAACCTGTCATTTCTTGTTCTAGTAACGGTAGACAAAACAAAATGAAGCCATGAGGATAATCTTGGGATGTCCAAGAAATGGTTTGATTGAGATAATGAGGATGGAATTGAACTTAAAGTATTGGGGATAGAATTTCAGATACATGTAGCTTCGGCGATTAGATTAATGCGAGGCTGAAGAGCTAATGGATTGATCATCTCGCTTCAAAAGGTGAGAAGAAATGCGGGGGGGGGGGGGGGGAGAAGTAGCCTAAGCTACTCTATCCCTTTGAGATGTATTTCTTTCTTGTCTCAATAAGCATACTTGAACTTGATAAGTACAATGCATGTTTAAGTATAATAATAGAACGTATATAAGGCACATTCATGGTAAAAATGAGGAAACCCCTCCTCCATTTAAAACTTTGAGTCAAATATTCGCGATAACAACGTTATCGCGAATAACCGAACTCAATTACGGGCTCACCATAGTCCGTGCTCTATAAAAAGCCAAAAGTGCATGAATACATTCTGGCTTCCTGTCCCCCGATACAATGAATTATTTATTATTATTTAATCTCTCTAAAACCCATTGTACCTTCTTGCAAATAAATTATTATTATTGGATAAAATAAAAACCCACACTATTTGTGAAATTGATGTAAGGAATTTAGTCTTTCGCACTCTCCTGAGTGCTTTGTCAAGGTCTGAGTGTGTGTGTGATTTTATATATATACAAGAGTATCTAACATTCTTGTAAAGCGAGGCGTCGGGCGAGTGTTTTCTCACTGATCCACGGAGACTACAAGATTAGCACTTACATCTTCAACGTCTAATCACGTAGCGATGTAAATCTGGTCCTAATCACACACTCAGACCTTGACAAAGCACTCAAGAGTGCGAAAGACTTTGTGTAAATTCCTTACAAACATTTCACTAATGCATAAGTGTGTTTTATCCTAAGTAAGTTTTATCCTGTTATTACTGTGAGAAGACATTAGCATTACTAATTATAATTATCCTAGAGCCAAGGTGAATGGGATAATTAATATAATATTACTACTAATAGAATAATATTATTAATAGTATTACTATTATTATTTATTATTAGTATTATTAATAATCATTAATTATTTAATATTAAATTAATTTATTATTAATAAACTATTTAATAAATTTAATAATTACTTATTTATTATATAGTCAAATTGTTTGGATGTGTGATAATGGTATGATAGACAGAATACTTGTGAGCTACAAGCACTTTGCCCCAAGAGTGTAACTTATATGGTGTCTACTATATTCAAATTCAAACAAGTTTATTAAGGTATAAATAAACAGAGGGATGAGGTAGCTCAAGCTATTCTCACCCCCTTCAGTACAAAGTGTTATATATAATATATATATACACACATTGAACCCAACCCCTGCAAGAGACTCGAACCCAGAAGCACAGATGTTAGTGCACCTGTGCATAACTAGTACGCTAACCGCTTGATCACGCTATAAGCGCTTGACCGCGCTAACCGCTTGACCACGCTATAAGCGCTTGACCACACTAACCGCTTGACCACACTAACCGCTTGACCGCGCTGATCCTCAAAAAATTTGGGATAAACTCCCTAGGTTCGATCTCGTTTAAGGATTAGCGTGGTCAAGCGGTTAGCGTACTAGTTAGGCACGGGTGCGCGAACATCTGTGCTTTCTAGGTTCGAGTCTCTTGCAGGGGTCGAGTCCAATGTGTGTTTACCTTTGACTTGTGGTTTAGGCAAGTTTACGTTTATATTTACGTTTAAACACATCACAAGCAATAAGCATATTACCCAACATTCTGAGTATATTAACTATATTAACCTGCCATGTAAAATGTGATTCTTGTACTGTGATTTGTGGATTTGTGCGCCCCTTGAGGGACTTGAAGTAGAGGAGGGTAGAAATAACTTTAGCTACTCCATTCCTTTGATGTGTGTTTTATTGTCTCGATAAACGTACTTGAACTTAAAGGGAGACCGTGGCTCTACCGTCCAGTCCAGGTGCTGGGAGTTCAGAGGTATGCTACTAGGCTAGTATCAGAACTAAGAGGTATGAGTTATGAGGAAAGGCTGAGGGAACTGCGTCTCACGTTGCTGGAAGACAGAAGAGCTCGGGGAGACATGATCACCACATAAAAGATTCTTAGGGGAATTGACAGGGTAGACAAGGATGGATTATTTAACACGGGTGGTACACGCACAAGGGAACACAGGTGGAAGCAGAGTACCCAAATGAGCCACAGACACATTAGAAAGAACTTCTTCAGTGTCAAGAGTAATTAATAAATGGAATGCACTAGGCAGTGATGTGGTGGAGGCTGACTCAAATATAGATATGATGGAGCCTAGTAGGCTAAAAAGAATTGCTGAAAAAAAAAGAAAAAAATTGTCCCACTTACGGGCTATTCATGCTCGTGCCACCTCTTGGGTGGCTAAATCTTTATCATTAGTAGGCTCAGGAATCTGTACACCTGTTGATTGACGGTTGAGAGACGGGACCAAAGAGCCTGAGGTCAACCCCAGCAAGTACAACTAGGAGAGTACAACTAGGGGAGTACCAGGAGCGCGTGTAGAGGGGGCGGGGCCTGCTGGGTAAGGAGGCGGGGCTTGAGCGTCTTGTTTACATGCCGTCTCTCAGACGCGTCTGTGTCGCGCTCCCGAGCACACGTCATGACGTCCTCCTCTCTCGTCTTCATGTTTACACTATTTTCGTGTATTATAATCCGTCCTGGAGGTGGTGCCGAGTACGAGGGAACGCTGGAATTGGTGCATTTGGTAAGTGTACCTCCTCCTAAGGGTTGTTTCACGGTAGTTGAGAGCTAACAACACTGGTGCTGGAACGGATGTGCTACTGGTAGAGCAGATTGTCCTATTGTTGTTAGTGGTTTAAGACAATGTTGTGAGGTTATGAGGTGCTCTGAGTGTTGTAATTACTGCATGACCAAACCACGCGTCGGATAATGAAGAAACGACAATGTTTTGGCCTGTCCTAGAATATTTATATAAAAGAAGGTACATTGGGTTCTTGAGAGTACAGTATATAACATTTATTTATTTATATATTTATTTATATACAAGGTACATTGGGTTTGTGAGAATACATAGCATAGTATTTACAATCTTGTATAGCCACTAGTACGTGCAGCGTTTCGGGCAGGTCCTTAATTAATCTAACAGATAATTTTAAATAGGTAAATTCTAGCAGAATTAATAAAATAAGATACATTACAAGGAAAAAAAAAAGATGAGATTAGTAAGTATATTAAAGCACATTAGTATATTAAAGCTCTGATTACATTCACAGCTTGATTGGTAATTTAAAACAGATTAATAGACACCATACAGCAGATTGATAGTACATATAAGAAGACAGCAATGATCACAATGGTAAAGATGTTCGGATTGGGTACATAAAGATTGGGAGATTGGGTAGCAATAGATACAGTGCAATTTTAAAGCAAAAGGTAAAAAACTAAAGATGAAATTAGGTACTTTTTAAGTTTTGTTTTTGAATGTTGCAAAAGTTGGACAGCTTTTCAATTCAATAGGGAGTGAGTTCCATAGACTGGGTCCCTTTATTTGCATAGTGTTTACACAGATTAAGTTTGACTCGGGATATCAGAGATATTTATTTCTGGTGTGGTGATAATGGGTCCTATTACATCTGTCCAGGGAGAGTTTCAGAGCAGGATTTGCATTTAAGAACAAGGTTTTGTAAATGTAATTGACACAAGAATTTTTGGAGCGAGATTATGTTTAGCATGTTTAGGGAGTTAAACAAGGGGGCCGAGTGTTGTCTGAAAGCAGAATTTATTATTCTGATAGCAGATTTTTTGCTAGGTGATGATGGACTTGAGGTGGTTTGCAGTGGTTGAACCCCATGCAGAGATACCATAATTAAGATAGGGATAGATTAGTTCATAATATACAGATGAGAGCAGAGTTGGGTACATAATATGATTTTGGATAGTATACCAACTGTTTTAGAGACTTTCTTAGTTATGTGTTGTATGTGGGTGCTGAAGTTCAGTCTCTTGTCTAGGAAAAGGCCAAGAAACTTTCCATTTTTATTGCTAATGTTTACATTATCTATCTGAAGCTGAATTGTATTTGTAGATTTGCTTCCAAATAAGATGTAGTAGGTCTTTTCTATGTTAAGTGTTAGTTTGTTGGTTGACATCCATAAGTGGACTCTTTTTAGTTCATTATTAACATTATTTAGTGTATGTGGGTTGGGGTTAGAGTAGATGAGGGTAGTATCATCAGCAAACAAAATAGGTTTCAGAATGTTAGAGATGTTAGGCAGATCATTGATGTATATAAGAAATAGGAGGGGTCCCAAGATGCTGCCCTGTGGCACTCCAACGGTTATTGGTAGAGTGGGAGAGAGACATTGATGTGTTTGCCCAAATAATACATAAATATCACACCACTTCATCATCCTACTGGCTATGTAGTAACTCTTCACTTAATACACCCAAAGACCAACATATATAAAATAGTTTACTTTTATGCAAATAATCGTGGGGCTGACAGCGCCGCCACCACTAGAAAATCACAATGGACACAAGCAGTTCTCATGCTTGTACAGTACTTTATGCAACAATTCCTTGTTTTCTATCAATTAGACCACACAGGTTGTAATATATATTTAAATTGCAAGAATAGGAAATGTAACAATCTTTGCTGATCTTTCTCAAATAGAAAAGAGAATATTTTGGCACATCATTTTGAACTAAAAGGCTATCGGTAATATGCATACCTCCACCAAGGGCAACACAACCCTTACTACCACTCCCTTTTCAACCCTTACTTAAACCATTCTTGATTCATTGGAATGCTTACGATAACAATTGTTATTGGCAACCTTTGATTTAGTAATTTCAAATTTTCATTATTTTGAGACAAAGCATTAAAGACCTTTTATTAGTCAATTGGCAGTTCTTACATTATGACTGCATGAGGACTCTTAAATAGCCCAACTATTGATTTTCAGTACTGTATAGGCCTTTGTGTTCTCATAAATCATAGTTTTCCTGTGGTTTAATTAATAATCAACTTTTGAAAATCCATAATTGATATTTTTTTGTTCTTGGCTGTTTTATATTCATTTTATCATTTGGCAATAGCTCTTACTCATAATCATTGTGTTATTTTAAAACATACTAATGTTATTGGTAAATGGTTTTATATAAAGTTACAGTATCTCAATTGATGCCAATTTTTCAGATGTACCGTCATGGAGACCGTGCACCAATCACCCTCTATACAAATGATCCCCACAAGGATCCCTCCCTCTGGCCCAATGGTTTGGCCCAGTTGACTAAGGTATGAGTTCTTTAAATGTCATTTGCAGAGGCCATCCCACTTTCCAAATTTGTTTTTTAAAAAGTCATTATTAATTTTATGTCCGTACTGCCCTCCCTTGCATAAACATATTGTGATGACTTTTGAACAAAGTAAAGTTTAAAGTAGTGGAATCTGACATTCCTAGGATGATTGTGTACAAAAATAGTCAGTAAAGCCACCTTTTATATTTTGAAAGTAAAGTTTTTGCTTGTTATGCCATAATGTATCACAACAGATAAGTGTTAAAACGTAGGGGGGGGGAAGTCTATAGACAGATTCGTTGTAAGACAAGCAAGCAGTGAGCCACAACCAGGTCCTGGTGGTGTACCTGCAAAACAAGAGACCCCCAGAAATGTCATCACTGCTGTTATAATGGAAGAGGACTTCCCTTCCAAACAAAGTTTTGTTGAAAAAACTCGCCCAGATAAAGCTGTAGCAGGCCATTGCATTGACCTTCTAAATGGCAATATATCATCTCACTACAGACAAGTGTTAAAATGTAAGGAAAAACAAGTATCTTCAGACAGATTTTTAGTAAAACAATCAAGCAGTGAGCCACAACTAGGTCCTAGTGGTATGCCTGCAGAACGTATGAGTGTTCCCCAGAGAAGTCATCACTGCCTGATGTTATAATGGAAGGGGACTTTCCTTCCAAATGGTAACCTCTCCTTCTCCCTCCTTCCTCACATGTATAAAATGTATTTTTAAGTTAATATTTTTGGGAGCGTGGAATGGATTAATTCAATTTACATTATTTCTTGATGGAAAAATAAAAATCTTATTTCGGTTGTCGAACCATCTCTAGGAACTGATTAAATTTGAAAACAGAGGTACAGTACTGTACCACTGTATAAATAGTGTAATTTAGACCCCACATTAACCACAAAAAAAGGATGTGGATGAAAGAAGTGTCACAAGGAAAGGGTTCATAAAGCTTTACTTAAGGTTGTGAATGGTTGGTTTCCCAGACAGTCTTGTTGTATCCAAGCCTTGATACAGAGCCAAAGTATCTTTTCATCAGCACCACTTCATCTTAAGTGAAATGCTTAGGAGGTCTAAAAAGAAATATCCTATCATCTGGTTTTCAGTAAGAATCAAATTTACTTAGTTTTTGTTTAGGAGAATAAGATGAGAAAAATAATGTACTCGAGATGCAGACTTGGTCTTCAATTTAACACTTTCGGTACCCGATGCCAGTATTTCTATCAAAAACAAAACTACGGAGTGAGCGGCATGACGCAAACGGCGTCAGTAATTTAAAAATTTGTAAAAATTTCCATTTATGGTTTGAATACTATTAGACTTGTTTTAAAATGCACACCAATGTCTTCCCATTCTCTTTAGATACCACATGGCATCCACCTGGAATAAATAATGACTGTAAACAAAGAAAAACGGGTGTTTTTTACATGACGGTTTTACTTCATCTTATGGTATTGGTAACATTATTCTATTTATTCTTATATGCAAATTGGTAACATTATTCTTATATGCAAATATTAATTTAGAACATTCTATTGTGAACAGTTTGATACAAAATTGAACGACATAGCACGAGAATTGAGGTGAAAGAGCTGAAGAGTATAAACCTTTTTGTGTGGTGGCTAGCTCTCGGCCTACCTTGCAGTGCGCGGTGGGTCTAAAGTATGGGAAAGTAAGAATTGTATATTCTTGTATGCACATATTCCTTTGGAGCATTTTATTGTGAACAATTTGATACCAAATTGAATGACTTAGCACAATAATTGAGATCAGAAAACTGAAAAGGGTATAAACATTTGTGGGTGGTGGCGAGTTCTCACACACTGCTTGGCCTGCCTTGAGGTGTACGGTGGGTTGCCCGCCAGGCCGACGATAGCATTAAGATCACACCAAAACCGATTGTCAAGTCGTCACCAGTCAGGCTTAAGGCCTGAAATAAAAAGAAATAATATAATAAAAAATATAATATTTGTTAAGACTTGTATGCAATTTTATTTTCAGGAAGGAAAAGCTAGGCAGTATGCCCTTGGCAGATGGTTACGCAATAGGTACCAAAATTTTGTCAGTGAAAAATGGATTCCTAGTGAAGTGTATGTTCGCAGTACGGATGTGGACCGCACCTTGATGTCTGCGTCATGCAATCTAGCAGCATTTTATAGACCAGATAATCCTGACTCCTTCTTTGAGAAGGACTTGGAATGGATGCCAACACCTATTCACACTACATTAGCAGAAAATGATGAAGTAAGATGATTTTAGTTTAATTTTTAAATTTTGTTTAGTTTGAAATTTTAAAAATTTATTTTTTTAGTCTAGAAAATACTCAAATCTTTTGAGTTTAGTTAAGATAGTCCAGATGTTAAGCAGTAAATCAAAACAAATTAATAAAAATTTTCGTAAAGAAACAGAACCTCTCATTTTGTCTGACAATATTGTCAGTTTACCAACAACTTAAGGCTACCTTTTCATCATACATTATAGATCTAGGCAGAGAAACAAATAATTTTTATGGCTACTGTATTTTATGCCCAAATTGTTCTGTATATTAGCAGTTTTATAAAATTACCATGTGTGTACTTATGAATACTCTGCACTGTATCGTGTTTTCAAATGTACTTTATATAAATAAGTTAATAATAATAATATGTAATTAATAATAATCTTTTTAAAATACTGTATACAGTATTATTGATTATATACTTTATATATACAGTGTTTTTTCAATTATTTCTTTGTGGACAGAAGCTTTATTAACTGGGTAGGGAATACAAAATTAGTCCTCTACAATGCAAGTATTATTAGTCTTAGACACTATTTTTTTTTCCATATACAGTACCTCTTCCTTACACAGTACAGTATTGGAGTTTGATATTTGCCCCCTCCTTCCTAGCAGAGATACTCAAATTCTGCCTCGGGGTACATGCTCTTCATGTTAGCTCTTTTGCAGCATGGCCCTTTGACAGTGGGGTTGGAGGTGGTTGACTGCATTCTTCTTTGCCTGGTCTCATTTTATGTTGTCCCTAGGTATTCACTAGGGTGTTGTGGGGTTCAACCTCTGCTCATGTCTCAAAGATGACACCTTCCTTGCTTTTTATGATCTGGTTGTTCGTTCCCCAAAAATAATGCTTCGGAGTTGCAAATTATTCTTGATCTAAGCCTGAACAAGTTTGGTTCCATTCCAACCTTCCAAATGATCAGGTTTTGTCAGGTTTGGTTTGTTCTTCCTGAGAGTGACTGGCTTGGGCTTTCAGAATGCTTATTGGCTCATCCTGATTCCTCCGAGGTTTAGGGACTGACTTGGGTTTTATGTTGACTTGGCATTAGTTGTTCTGCTTTAATGTTTTTTCTATTTAGTTTGAATCTAGCATCCAGGACATTTACCAGGTTGATACGGGTTTTGATTTCTCATTTCTCTTTTTGGAAGTTGCTGCATGGTCTTCCTCAATAATTAGCTGGTTTGGGCACCCAGCTGGTCAGCTTGCAGCCTAAGCTAAGCTGGCATATTGCATATGTCGGGTACAGTATTGAGGAGTCCTCAGATTACTTGATGGCTTCCTGACCAGATTTGGGTAACTTTCAGTTGGCTCAAAGTGGACCTGTTCCTATTGGTGTGGAACCGAACGTCGAATGTTTAGATACATCGAACGGTGTGGAATGGAACGTCATTTGGGGTATATTGTCCTATTCCTAGATAGTCACTTGTGGTGGATGCATTTCACCTAGACTGGAGTCAGGCGGTGGGATTTTCTTTTTATCTCCTTCCTCTGGTATGGCTTCTCTCCATTATTGCCCAGTTGGATTATTTGGGCAGGATGATCCTGTTGGTTCCTTGGTGGTCAGCACAGCCATGGTTTCTGGACCTTTAGGCTCGCTGTCCAAACCTGCTACTGCTGGGGCACCACCTCTTCCAGTGGATCAGGGAAAGACTTGCCTCAATAGTGTGATTATTTCTGCCAATTTTCATATATGGACTTTTTGAGTAAAGTTGACTGCAACTTGTATTTACTGCAACTTGCATATGGCTGGTCTTTGAATATTTTCTGTTCCAGTCTGTTCTTTGTTGGCTCTGTGATCATCAGTTGATGCTTAATACTGCCACCAAATGCCATTTGACCTTGGCAGAGCTTCTTTTGTTGCTAATTAGGGTTATTTATCATCTTTCCCTTCCAAGATGTCTGGCATTTTTTCACTTCTGGCCAGCTAATTTTCCTCTGGAAACATCAGGGTCTTTGGGCCAGCTTCTTTACTTCACATTTTCTCAGAGTATTCCTTTTTTTTTTTTTTTTTTTTTTTATAAGTGAGGGGGGAGGGGGAAGCATGTTTCATGCTCTTCTCTGTAAGTGGGGTTTCTGTACCCTTTATTATGGGTCTCTGTTCCTGCAGCTCCAACCTCATCATTCTTTTCTTGCTGTGAACAAGTCTTTGGCATTTTGGAGGGTCCTTTGATGACCGAGGCATGGTTGCTCCAAACGGGAGTTCATCACATGCTTTGTCATGTAGCAGCCATTTGACGCTACCTGCACACCAGTTGGTGCTCAGCGGATGCATTCTTTAACCTGATGTCATTGGTTCTTTCTTTCTTTTTGCTCCATATTCAACCTTGTGATCACTGGTGCACTAACGGTGCTTATGGGTCGATACTTGTTCAATGTTCCTAGGCAACATCAGATTTGCATAACATTGAGTTGGTTGACCCATTGCTTAGTCCCTACAGGGTTTTACTGCTTCTCTTCTCCTTTCTCAATTGTAAGCCCTGGCCAGTTTTGTTTTTCTCTTGGTTATAAGTGGTTTTTCCTTGCTCCAGGGTGAGATGGCACGAAAGAGCTACTCAATGAGCCTTCATGGAAATCCAGTGTTAAATGTAGTGAAATGCCTTCTTCTGGTGGGTCCTGCAGTAGCTCTGCATTCCTGCCATAGCTCCTCTTCTCTTGGTGTTCGTGTTGTGAATAGTGACACACATGTGACACACATTAAACACGTGTGATCATGTGTTGACTGGTGCGTGAATGATAAAATTGGAAGCATGGGATGACGGGGGCGGGCAGCAAGCGAGTATTGCCAACTAGTACTTTTTTCTTGGCTAGTGATTATATACATAGTTGAATTGTTGTAAGGGCCGGTGTATTCTTTGGAATACTCTCCCATTCTAGTGGTTTTTTCCTTTTGTAATGTAGTGATCAAGGATCCCCAGACTCCTCTTTTCCTTGATCAAGAGAGCTTTATTCTGGTCCTGTCTCCAATAGGCTGTTGTTGTCATCGCCACCGCTGTTGGTGTCATCGCTGTTGTTGTTTTGTAGAGCTAATGTGTAAAAAAAAAAAAATAAAAAAAAAAAAAAATAATCATATCACAAATACACCTAAGAAATTGTAAAATTGGCTAGAAGCTGGGATAGCTTGCAATTACTTGTCAGAATCTTTAGTGGATTTCTAAGTTTCAATTCAGTTGAGTAATCCTTTGTTATGGATGTTGACAAACATTTTGTATTTAGATATTTCACTCCTGTTTGAATTTCTTGTACTTGTATTCAACTCATTTTCTTGGCTTCAACCTCTTCAGTCTGAGTGTGTAGAAATGCAAATATTTGTTTAATATGCAAATACCACCATTACTCTGTCCAGTATGTAGGTACAGTATACTTTAATACTCTCCATTAATTTCATAAATTTTCAAACTTTACAGCTCTTGAGTATTAATCACACCTGTCCAAGAATCCAGGAGGAAGTTGCTAAACAGGATAATCTACCACTGGTGAAAAATTTGACAGATGCCAGTCAAGATCTGTTCCACTACCTGAGTCAAATGACAGGAGATAATATTTCTTCTATCGTAGATGTGGACTACCTTCATGATACTTTACTAATTGAGGTAAGAATCATTATGTTCCTTGTGTTTCAGAGGTGAAATAAGGAAAGTCAATCTTATTTTCCTTTGTTTATTCAAATTGAGCTTTAAATCTTGTGCTCCAAAATTTATCTCTCGGCTACACTTGGAAATCCCCAATGAATTCTTTATCAAATCGTATTATTTTGGGCAGTGTTTCTTCAAGCTTTTCTCTCCTGTGTAACCATCAGTAATATAGGATTTTGATGTAAATTGTTTGTCTGGTCCAGACAGACTGGCTTTCAAAGATAGCTTTTAGATACACCAAATGAAATGTATACCAGCCACTGGAAAGCATTCAAAAGGCCAGCATGAGTGCATTGACCGTAGGAACACAGAGGGTGCAGGGTCTACAAGTAGTCACAACATGGTGCAGAGAGTGCAGTGCTGTCTTATGTCCTGTAAGCAGTGTTTTGTAATGGAACCTAAACTTGTATATACAGTATACCGAACATGTGTATAATGTTTTAACGGCAAAAATTTTGCAATTTACTGTAAATAAAACCTTTTGATGTGCATATTTGTCTACTGATGTTCTACACATTATATGATTTAAATTAAAAAAATTTCACTAGTGCATACATAGTATAACTACAAAAATCCAATGAAGAAAAAAGTCAGTTAAAATAAAAAAAAAAATAGAAATACTTGTATATTCATGGAAACTACCTGCAAGCACCAGTCCAGAGACCCCTGAGAGGTCATTAACATGACCTCGGTGGGAGGGACCATGGACATCCCTCCTTCCATGCTCCCTCCATGAAGGAAGCACTTGGGGACCATAGATCAACCATTACCCAGATGAACCATCTGCCAGAATAGAAAGTCACTAAACTTTTAATGTTCCTTCAAGTAATATTTGGCAACACTCAAAACCCCAAACAAAACTGTGAACCTATTTAGGTATTGTACTTAATCAACAAACCCCAAATGGTGGCAGATGGTGACCTCGGCAACTCCGGCCCTTAGTGAGGCGAGGACCTCGCTCTCGAACCCAAGCACAGTACAACCACTAACATGTGGCTGTAGGGACACGCAGGCTAGGAACTGGATGCAACATAGGTGTTGAACAGCACAGGGCACTTCATTACACTTAATGCTCTTCGGTAGGACCCTGATTATCTAGATTCATTGGTACCTTTGTATGCTGGAACACTGATAATCTGGTTAGTTGAATTTGGGACCAGGAAAAGATTGTAGCAAGTGTATTTCAGCAATTCCTCCACACTCTAATATCATTTACTTTTTCAAAATTGATTATTGTCATGTTAATACACATTCTGGAATTTTTGTTGTTGGTTTTGAGTCTTTCCATAGATTGTCATGTTATTGTGTAAGCATTTTCATACACAATCTGGTTAATCCTATTTGCTGTATTTTAGTTCAATAACTAATTTTAATTGTTACTTAACACTAATTTCATTTACAGTTCTTGAACAATCTCACATTACCGAAGTGGACAAAAGATGTCCTTCCACGCATGAAGGTTTTGTCCGACTTTAGTTTCCAGCTTGTCGCCCTGTCTGAAGAATTAAAACGTCTTAGAGCAGGTACATATCATTATCTGTGGTAGTTTTTGTTTCAACATTTCATTTTAGTATTGTGAAATATTGAAGGCAATTTTTTTATGCATTTAATTTTTTAACCATCCTATTCAGTTGCTCCTTAACCTCTGCTCTGCACCCCTGGTTATAGCCAACATCCCTCTGAAGTACAAGAAAATTTATATATTTTGTTATTCTTTCAATGTTGATAAAATGCATAACCTGATCAAGGGAGGGGGGGGGGGGGGGAATTATGACCGACTTTGGCCATGGTGAAGCCCGGAAGTTTCATGATTGATGAGCATTGACGTAGCACTTGTCCCATGGCGGTAACCCCGGCCCAGCCATGGGGTGGAAGTTGCCGCAAAAGATACTTTGGTTCCAATCACAGGCTTCACTTTACTGTCCTTGTTCTTTGTTTGAACAAGCAATGGACATGGTTTACTTGGAATTCCTATCTTGACTTTCAAGCTTTTTCTTTATTTTGTTGTGGGACAGAGGTTCTGATATTGGCTGCAAACTTTACTATTGGACTTTAGGGAGCATAGCAAAATTTGTAGCTAAAATCTGGTCATCAGGACCTCTGTCCTATGGCAGAATAAAGACTCAAAAGTTAAGATTGAAATTCCAGGTGAACCATAACCTTCAACTAACAATAAATGATAGTGTTGATCCATTGCATGTGATGGATCAACACTTTGGGAACTGGCTAGACACTGCTTGGTGCTGTTTAAAACATTACCAAGGTGGGTTTCTTGACCTCTGACAGTTTTTGCCAATTTTTTTGGCTCGTTCACTGGCATGTCGGTAGTACTGCACAATGAGTCATTTAAAAAATTTAACAGGTGTAGCTTATTTTTTCCAGTTATTTTTCCTTGGTGATGGATTGAACTTTAACTGCCCTGTCTTCTCTTCCCAATTGAGAAGGCAAGACAGGTTTCAAAAGGTACTTGTTCCTATGGCACAGAGGCTGATAGAGCCTAAAGGGATTGTGGTGTCCTGATAGAGCACACAGGTCCTAGCTTAGAAAGCATCTGAGGGAGTCTTTTTCCCAGATTGGTTAAGTAACTCAATTTCCAAGCTTGTAAATTGACTAATACGTGTACAAAGTCCAGGTGTCTGTTTTGATGGCCATAGGAATTGGTAAAAAATGATTTTTAAAACTTTTTTGATGTCCGTCTTGGTATCTTTCCTTAACTTACATGCTGGTACTGTACAGTACAGCCAAACCTATGGAATTGTTCCAGACCTCTGAAACCCATGCTGACTTATGTTTGTTTGAGTCTTCTTGGGGGCTTCAGCCATTGTCTTTTCTAGTCGGCTTACCTTACTTATCAGTGCTTATCTATCAGCTGCTCAGTGGAAGTAATGTTCTGCCAGGATCTAGTTCTCATCTTCCACTCATGCTTCACTACTCTGGGTGTCAGTCATCAGTGATTGATTTTCTTCCTGATAATTGTGAGGCTTGCAAGCATGTCCTCTTACATGCTTGCAGGCCATTATAACTAGTGTAGGCCTTATAACCATTGTGATTGTGAAATTTAATTATTTATTTATTCCATTACATATTAGGTCCCATAATTAAGGAAATTGGTAATAACATGAGAAAAAAAGTACAAGGAAAGCTGCCCAAACAGAAGATGTACATGTACTCGGCCCATGACACCACTTTGTCAATACTGCTCTTGGGCCTTGGTGTGTTCAACAATATAGCCCCTCCATATGCAACAACTGTTCTGATTGAATTGCACAAAATTGGTGAACAACGATTCGTTAAGGTATTTACAATTACATTTTTTATTGATTTACTACAATTACTATCCAGTATACAATACTGCATGACTACTCTAATTTGATTTTTTTTTCTAGGAGGGCCCCTTCAGTATCTCTGTGAGCTAAGTACTTGTGCAGCCTCACCTTAGATACACCAGAGACCCATCCTTCTCTAACATGAGTCAGGGCCAGACTTAGGCTCTCAATATGAGAAGTTCAACTTGGGGATCAGATATCAACCCAAAACTGAGAAACTTCACCAGGATGCATAACCGTAACAAAATGAGTTGTTACTTGAAGAAAAATAGGTACCCTTGGAAAAAAAAGGCAAACTTTGTAGCTGCAATGTAAGCTTCCTGAATGTGAAGTGTCTGACTGCTGCCAGGTGGTAGGCCAGGGACCCCAGGTTCTTCGCGGTTGGAATCTTTTATGTTATGGAAATAATAATTTGCCTTGTTACCCAAGGGAATCTATTTTTTTTCAGAGTTGCTTGTTTTGTTATGCTTATGGTTTCTAGTGCTTTTTTTCCTCGGTTTTGGGTTGATCTATGACCCCCCCCCCCCGCCCCTGTCCAACTTCCCCTTTCTCATTGAAAGTGCCAGATTTTGGTCCTGGCTCATGGTTCAACCCGTCCTCCTAAGGTGTTCCAATGTGAAGAAAATAGTCAAATTAAGGTGTCCTCTCCTAATCTACCAGAGGACAGAAACCAAAAACGGGACAGTACAGTATGTCATTTCCACGAGCTGCTTCCATTTTCTAGTACGACAGTTTTTGCCCTTGTGTAACGCAAACGATTGAAATGCGATGTCCTTTGTAAATGGACAGGTTGTGTGGTAAGCACAGATGAGTTTGAGGTCTGGTGCATCTAAAGCTTGGCTGGACCATTGTTTACTTAGCGCAGGGAGCTACTGGGAACCCCACTATAAAAGCGTTTCATTCCATTTAAAGCTTTATATTTTTGTTTGGGAAATTATAAATACAGTACTCGCTGACCTGGGAACCAGACATGATTTAATCATAATATTCCAGTTGGCAATGAACTCTCATATAACATGACTTAAATACAGTAGTTATAAGAATAAAATTAAGGTTTTCACCAAGTTATGATGCTCTGCTTTGTCTAATGTCTTGATAATTTTTATAGGTGCTATTGCAGAATGTTTAATTTGTTGTTGTGGCAGATATTAAATTTTAGGCTTTTGTAGTGAGGTTAGGCAGAGATTATATTGGCTGGCTTTCTTCCTGTGTGCTTTCTTAACACTTAATAGCATTGCAACTCTTTATCCCATTGCTACAAGGGTCAAGACCTGGTGACCTATGTAACTAACAGCAGTAACTAGTAGCAGTAAATAGTTTCCTTGTTTTTCAAGTGTTTCTTTATTATGTTGTTTATATTATTTGGATAATATTGTTATTTGCAATTGCTTGTTTTAGAGCACTTTTCTAGTGGTATTTCCTTTAGGCTTGGATTGATCAAACATTTGCAAGTAGACTAAATTTTGTCTCCGGTAGGCTATAATGACTCGCAAAGACCCGGTGATGTGTTAGGAAGCTATCCAGGCGGCTAGCTACAGGCAGCGACCAAGGGGCCAAGACAAACAAATATTTGTAACTAAACTTTCCTGGAATATCAGACTTTCTTATGCATTCTTGAGTATCACTGAATATCCAGCCCCCTTATTCATGGCAGTGTCACTGAAGGTCTGCCTGCCTCGGCCAGGCTGAACTAACCCAATATATCTTGGACGACAAACAGGCTCAGAACCAGAGTGACAATGTATGGAATAGTAATATGCAGAATATAGAAGCACTCTCAGCCCCCCCCCCCCCCCAGGAACATCATCAGGAGTTTTAATTTGTTTCTACACAAATGCTAGAAGCCTAGTAAATAAGTTTGATGCCTTGTGTGCATACACTGAGGCTGAGAATCTGGACTTCATTAGCATTGGTGAAACATGGGGATGAAGGGACATTATGGAAGGAAAATTCCATCTCTCGGAATACCACCCACCATTCAGAACAAGAGCAGGTGCGGTAATGCTATATATGAAAGGACCTGAATGTAACCACCAGTGAGAAACTACCAATTTCTATCCTGGGCAGGACAGAAATGGTTGGGTGCATTTCCTATCACCTAATGCCCCTGTCCACTTAGCAGTAAGTGGACAGGTACATTGACTAACTTCTGACATACCCAGGAGATAGTCAACTTGTTGTGCGGGGTGGGTTTGGGGTGGGATCCACCCCACCCCTTGCATTCTAGGGGTGAGGTGGATCTCGATATAAGCCTAACATATATATATATATATACAGTATACACACTCTAGCTGGCTGTCCTGACATAATGAATTAATATAATAAAAATAGGAAAATATAATTTATTACTATTTATTGTACAAAATAAGTGTATGGATAACCAAGTATACCAAACATTAACAGATGTTCTTGAGAAATGACACCAATATGGTTGAGCCGCCACACGTGCTGACCCTGCCAGGCTGTGCTCCCGTGTGTCCTCTAGATGACTGGCTTGCTATCAATGAGGCCATCATACCCAGTGATTGGCATCATGAGTGTAACTGTGTTATGGAGGGGTCGCTTCCTAAGCTGAGCCCAGGAATGCTAACAGGTTGGTCTTTTATCAAGTTAAACATGTTCTATTTTTCTTAGTAATATAGATGAATACCTGTAGAAGAGTTTTAGATAATGAGTCCAGACATTCACTGTAATGTTGTCTGAAAGTAATTCTTCATATAGCTCTTCCCTAAAGTAAAAGGGGTTTCCAGAAGAATAAGGCATCAGGTATAAGATAAAGTTAGATGAGGAAAAATGTCCTATCTTTTCTGAAGCTTCTGAGAATTATTAATTTTTGTATCTATATAACGTATCTGATAATGCAAGTAAATTTTCAGATAACCCAATACTTAATATGCAGACGAGGAGTCACAATAACGTGGCTGAAATATGTTGACCAAACCACACACTAGAAAGTGAAGGGACGACGTTGTTTCGGTCCGTCCTGAACCATTGTCTTGTCGATTGTGTGTCAACTTGATTGACTTGACTCGAGTCACACAATTGACTTGAGTGGTCCAGGACAGACCGAAACATCATCGTCCCTTCACTTTCTAGTATGGTTTGGTCAACAACCCAATAATACATTATTATACATTACTATTAATATGACCACAAAATTGGTGTGAAATGAGTATATCCTTGTTCAACATATATTTACATTTGCAGGTACAGTATAGTGTTAAATGCTTAATAAAATGCCATAAAGTGGATGTGTTATGGTTAGACAACGGTCATCATCACACGTTAATCTTTGGCAGTTTTAGTTATTTACTCTTAATTGTAGCTTTCTTTGTCCTGAAGTTTTTTTTGGTCTTGATAATTGTCAACTGGAATGAAACGTGGCAGTCTCTTTATATAGGAAGTAGTGCATGTGAAGGTTAATGTGTAATGAGTCACTAGTTTGATGTTTAGGATGACACAGATTTATGGTAAGTGAGAAATGATAATGTTGATGCCTTGCAAAGAGGCATCTACCACATGAACTCCACAAATGGTCAGAAGACTGTGAAATGCTTTTAATATTGACAAATGCAAGACCTTGCATGTGGGGGCATGCAACCTATGCCACAACTACCAAATTAATAAAATTACAGCAGATTGATAACGAAAAGGACCTTGGAGTCAAAATCCACAACCCGTCCTAGACTCCATTACATCCAGCGGTCGACCCCACAGATGCATTCATCAGTTTTAACGTGCTGTTCATTCAAAACGGGAATTTTCTCAAATATAAATTAATATTATAATAGCATATTGTGCATATATAGGCATTGGTTTGGTTAGGTTAGGTGTTTAGGTTCTGTTGGCGATTATTTGTATTTGTAGTACGTGGCTGAAGCATTTACAGCGTTGTGGTTCGAACAAAATTCTTCAGAGTAACACTTGTTCTGGAAGTGTTTGAATGAAATCGGTAGTCATGTGTAAACCGTTTTTCATTCATAAACAGGGGGTTTGGCAGGTGCATGGAATCACTTTTAGGTCTTTGTTTGGACGACAGGCTGAAAATCTACCACAAAACAAAACAAAAACAAAAAGGGGGAGGGAGGGAGGGGACAAAACCTCCAGACTTAAAGGGAGAAGTCTTAGTGGATCGCAGTGAGGATGCTGCTCTTCCACCTACAACCAATCAGTGTATAAGATTATAGTTGTTACTTAGTAGCTAGAGTATTTGTGTATTTATAGCTATATACTCAAGTGATATAATGATTTGATGAGCCATAATTTTAATTTATAATATAACATTCTTCAACTATATCTGAAAGGTTCTAGGAGTTCTTCTATTCTTCGAACTACTCCCCCAGTTCTATAATTTAAATTAGTAACTTAATCGCTAATTTACTATCTTCATATTTTTTCTCCAGACCTCTCCACCATATGAAATGAGAAATGGGGTACAGTAATAATAATGGAATAGTTGTACTGTATAGGCAACAATTGCAAGATATTTTCAGATGTTTAGTTAATATTTTACTACACCAAGTATTAAAGAGTAATATGGTGTTCATGTGTAATTTCTCAAATTTGTCAAAATTAAAAAAAAAAACTTTGGTTACAGACTTTTGTTGAACACTACATGGAAAATCAGGGAAATAGACTGAAGATTTGGTTGTTAACCTTGATAGTTATGGAGGTGTTAGTCAGGGCAGAAGTAAGGTAAGAAAGCCAGAAGTCGCCAGTGTAGGAGGTAGCTGCAAGTATAAAATAGTTACAGTAATTAGTTTACAGTATATGGAATTAAATACAGTAGTGAAGAATATACCAAGTTATCAGTGTGTGTGAAAGATTAAAGGTGAATGTATTCCATCGTTTATTGTAAATTTTGCACACCTTTCAAGTAGGAGACGCCTTGGATTACTGGTAACTTTGTATTCAGTGTGTAAACCATTTTATTCTTGGTTGTAGGCAGTTCTGGTATTATTTTCGTGGCCATAATACAGAATCTTAAACCAAATTTAACTGACTTAACCCCTGCACTGTTTTGGGCAAAAATTTCATGGTACAGTTGTTAAGAACATTTTTGTTGGTTTTTATAAATGTTCAGCTAATGTTAATGTCAAAAAGTTTCCAAACTCGATCATTTTCATTTCAAATCACAAAGAGCGATGAAAACATTAAAAACCTTAAAATATGGTCTAATTAAACAAAAAATTACACAACCCTCAGAGCAACATTTGTTTGGTGCAATGCAGTGGTTAAGTAGTTTGGTTTAGTATATTTCTACTTATGACTGACTTTGGATTATACTTACACTGTCAGGTTTCCTTATGTCTGAAGATCAATTTTAAACTAATTCTTTCCTCTGTATATTCTCAGATATTATTCATCTCTTGCCTAGGTGGATAGATACCAGTCAAGTTGTAATGACTAGTGATGTCATCATTAGAAACAAATTGTGTTACTCTTTTGAACAAAAAGATAGTGATAAATATTGGGTTAGTGGGGAGTGCCAATGGGTAGAAACTTAGGAAATAATACATCATGTAAGTATAAGCAAATTGGTATACATTATTGTATTTTGTGTGTACCTTTAACTACTGACACATAATTGAAATGTGTGTGTTGTCCCTAGTAGATGTAGTTCAGTTGGCATTTGGCTCCCTAGGGAGGCACTACTCTGGAAAATGGTACAAATATTAAATGAGGAGGAATTACACATACAAAACACTATCTCTTAAATAATTCCTTCTTAAACAAAAGCCAGACTTAATAACACACTTCTCTGACCCCATAAGAGCCACTTGGACCAACTGATCTGCTGCCTCCGTAATAAACATTATTTAACTAACATATTGCCAATATATTTTTCTCGGTAGGCTTGCACGTTTATTCTTATGCAGTGTATTTATAGAAATTATCCCGAGTTTGATTATCCCTTCCAGGCACTTTGTGGCACAAAAATTTGCTTGCCAACAATATATTTCCATTTGTTTTCTGTTAAGTTGGTAATTTTTTGTTTACTAAATTCCTATACTAATTACAAACTCGCTCATATTAATTACAGCTGTGCTTTTTCCGAGTTAGATTGGTGGTTTCCTTCCTTAGTCATCGAGCCGATCTTCTCAAGAACAGGACCAGACAAGTCGGATTAGATTTCTCCAGTGTCTCCTTCCCCTTGTTTGACCCAGTGAAGACACTTGAAAATATTTCTGCTGCACCATGGAGTAAATGCTCATTTACTTCATTTGTAGAGAGTAAATGCTCATTTACTCCCTGGTGCAGCAGAAATATTTGTCCCCTCTGGGTCATAGGGGGGGTGGGAGGAGACACTGGAGAAATTTGATCCAGCCCAACATAGAATGTAATGAAATGCCTTTCTCTGGTAGGGCCTCGGTGGCTCCCTGAAGCTACTTCACCGAGATGATTTTCTCCCGAGTCACATGAGCCATAGGAGCCCTGAATGACCTACCAGAACCTGGTTCCCTCACAGAAAATATCCAGAAAGTCAGAGAATCTATACAAACAACTGCAAGGTTCAGAGAAAATGAAGTACAGAAACGGCCAAACAACTCAAAAACTAGGTCAGAATCCTTTTAGTTACAGGTGGCAGCATCACTGGAAACTCCAAGCCTCACCACTTTCTTGGCCTCGGCCTGGAGCTGAAAGACCACGAGCCAACACGCACAGCAGGGAAGGAGGGAATCTGGACGTCACCAAGGCCCTACCAGAAAGAGGTGTTTCGTTACATTCAATGCTGGTTTTCTGGAAGGGCTGGATGGTACCTCCCTGAAGCTAATTAACAAAAGAGTAAAAGGAAAACACAGGACTTGCCAAGGGAAAAGGACAAAAATAACACTTGCAAAGAAGAGACGTTGGGACGGGAAACCCGACCCAGGGCAGCACAAGACCAGGAACATTAATCGGATAATGAGCCACCATGACCTTGTTATGCCTCCGCCCATGTCTGAATATCACCCGATGACACATTAGAAAACATTGCAGAACAACAAACTTTCTAACATCATGGGCTCAAGGTTTGATCACAGGCTGGCTAAACTTGATGACATTGCAGGTAACCTGGGATAAATGAGCCTAGGAACTGGGAACCAAGAAGATTGGGTCAACTAACATCACATCCACTAAAGCAAAGTGGGAAGTGCACAGATACAGATTAACTGCCACAACTGCAAACAACAAATGATGCACACCTGGACAGACAAACCCAGCATCAGCCACCATAGGATCACTGGAAATGAACAAGTCTTATTCTTTGCAAATAAAGGAGGAGACAGCAAACAAAGAAATGGCCCACCAGGACCAAAAGAACAAAACTCGCATCACCCACACCTATGGTTGTAGGATGGGGGAGCATAAAGCTCCCCTGTCCTCCAACTATAAGCGAAGGCCTACAAAGACAGGGACTTAATCATATACTGGACTGAAGGGGGCAGTCAAGAACAGAAGAGGGGAAGGAAAAACTAACACTCCCATTAATAGACCAAGACAACTCGGGAGCAGGAAGAGCAGGCTGGAGGCAAAAAGACAGCCTGCAACAACTTTAAAAATGATGCAGTCGAAACGGTCGCCAGTAAGAGAGGTTGTCAAAGCTGAATGAGAAGAGGCTATAGAATTAAGACATAAGAGAGACAGAAGAGAAATGAGGTGCCATTCAACAAACAACCAAAATGAAAGGGAAAACCGTCAAAATGGACATTGAAGAAACACGAGAGAGAAAAATGACGAAGAAAGGAGTGCCAAGAAACTTCGTTCAGCCATTGCAATGAAAGACGTAGTCGAGATACCAATAGCTCGACCACCTGTGCACTATACAAATGGTGATACACCAATGTCAGAAATTCCAAATGCATAGATTGGCACTGAACCAGTAAGGTACATCAGAGCAGATATGCTGAAAGAGGTGGAGCCGTGAAAAAATACCCAGGTTCGGACATTAGTCCTGAAGAGCCAGGAACGAAGGTTTGAGCCAGCCACCAAAGAGCCAGAAGGATCATGTTGTCAGAGTAAGTCTCCAACCTGGACAACACCCAAAGCAACGGCTGAGCCAGGGGCAGAGATAAAGTAATCTTCACCTCAAAGTTCAGTTGAGACATCCACCATGAGAGCCTTGTTATTAGGAAGCAGAACCACGTAAGAGAGAAGACATTAATTCCACACTGGTGTGAAAACAGCTGAACATTTTGCAGAACAAGCAGGAGGACACTGTCCACTACGTGGAATAGGGGCAGAAGTGAAAGAGACCATCTGCGAGACTGTCGGCCAGTACAGTATTGAAAGGATAGAGGCCTGGTTAACGACCGGGCCACGGGGACGCTAAGCCCCGGAAGTACCTCAAGGTAACCTCAAGGTAAGGTATGGCTTTCTTGGCCATCCTTTCTATAGGAATCTTGAAAACAAGTGGGACTTTGTACATCCGGTGACTTGGAGGTCTGAATGTGCAGACATCTGCAATAAGACTGAGGCCAAGATGGCCGTGGAGACCAGAGGTTCCTGGCGGTGCTGGGGCCAGATTCACGAAGCACTTGTGTAAGTACTTACGAACGTGTACATCTTTTCTCAATCTTTGACGGCTTTGGTTACATATATTAAACAATTTACAACCATGAAAACTTCACAATCGACTGTTATTGTTATAAATAGCCTCCTGATGCTTCGGAGCTTATTAACTATTTAATAATTGTAAACAAAGCCGCCAAAGATTGAGAAAAGATGTACAGGTTTGTAAGTGCTGGTGTAACTTCGTGAATCTGGTCCCTGGTACCTGTTGGTGGCCAGCCGTAGCTACGGGATTTGACCTAGTTTCTGAGCAAATCGTTTGCAGAGCCATTTTTCTGTTCGTGTTTTGTTTACTCTGAACCTTTCAGTTGTCTGTATTGCTTCATTGACTTGGTTGTTTTCTTGGTGAGGCTAATCGTAACAATTCCCTGGTTCCTGTGCTTCTGAGAGGAAGTCAGGTTCTGGCTAGTCTGATGTAGGGGAGTGCCATCTTGTGAGATAGCTTCAGAGAGCTACCATTTGGCACCTCTAGAAAGTTTATCTTAACTCAGTAACCCTCAAAGTAATAGACCACCAAGCTCTGTTAACTGCTTGTTGTACCACCTGGCTACTACCCTTGACTGCCACCAGATGTCAGCACCTAAAGTGTTTGTAGACTAGCTTTGTCTACATGTCAAGGATTGTCTTTTGGTTTTGCAGTTCCTTGGGACTTGCTTCTTGGCTAAGGGTTAGTACTACGCAAATATATTTGGATATGCTCGGTTGCCACTTCACCTGTGTACAGTTTTACAATGCATTTTTTACAACAGATTAATATTACATGGCTGCTATATTTTTTTCACAGCCTGGAGTTTCTCAATTTGTGTTTTTTTTAAGAGTTATGCTAAGGAATGCTGAAAATGTAAGTATTGCATCCAGGTCTATCCTGACTGCAGTCTCTGGACAGAGGTTCTGTGACCTCTTCTAGATTTCACATAGCTTTTGTTCCTCACATTTTTAAGGCCATGAGGGACACAGTACAGCACAACCATCCCAGCTGCCTTTACCACTCTTGTAGGGTGCAAAGTCACTTTCACTTTCGGTTGCATTCTTTTCTTCGGGGGTGGTTGGCAATCCTGAAAGAGTCTGTCTTCGCAGTTTGTGTATGAAGAGCTAAGGGCTCAAGCATTGTAATAGGAATCCTGGTAGTCCTATGTCTTAGTTTCTGTAGATTTCTCTCAACTGCCTCTAGTTTGAGGAGGATTTGAAGGTTTGAGTCACTTTTCCAATATATTCGAATCGGTCGATAGTGAAAAACATTACATTATATACATTACCTAGCTATTAACAAGGTCTTTTGACTGTTACTAAAGTAAACCAGGTCAGGATAAATGGAGTCAAATTCAAATAAGAATATGCAAGTGGGTTACCCCAGGTCTTTGTCCTTGAACTACTGATGTACAAGTATATACACATTGTATGCAGATGGTAAAGTTGTAACAGATAATGATGCGGATTAGTTGAAGGCTTTCTTGATGCATCGTATGGGAAATGAGACTGCAAAAATTGAATATGAACGAAAGTAAAACAATGATAGTGAAGATAGAAGGAAACTTGTATGTGTATGGAATAAGGGTAAACTAAAGTCATAGAGAAGTGGTCAGTCAGTTTAAATTCCTGGGCTGTGTAATTGACAAAGGATAATATTGTGCAGAGGTGTGGAGAGTAGAGTATGTCAGAAGGAAAGCGACTAATGCAGTGAAATCTCGGGTGGCACAGTGGTAATGCACACCCCCCCCCCCCCCCTGTGTCTCGCAAATGAGGCACGGGCTGTAGAAGGATAGAGTAAGGATTGAAAATGTAATGGGGAAAAAAAGTTCAGAAGTCACTAAATCATTCAATTTAATATTGTAGGTAGATCTTTTGGTAAATGTTTTTGGTAAATAAAAGATCGATACATGAATGGATGATGGAGGTGCTAAGAGAATTTATAGTAAAGTTGAAGGTAGAATTAAAGGAAAGCGAAGGGTATGATTAACAGACACAATGATGATGTTTTTAGATTCTGCTACGCTGAACAAAAGTTCCAAGTTGCACGGGCTATGGTGAGCCCGTAATGGACTTGCCTAGCACAGGAATGGGGCTGTAACTGACGAGACACAATGAGGAAGTGAAGATTGAAGTAGAAAGAAATAAGGCTAGGCAGAATGAGACCGATTAGTGTGAATGTTATGTATATTTATAAATGACAACTCGTGCGAAGCACCTTGCACCCGGTTGTATGAGGTAATGGCATGCTGTTAGCATGTGATTGTTGGTTGTACATGATGCTACAGTATGTTATGCGGAAAATATATTGAATGTCTTTAAATGCTGAGAATATTACACCTATAAAAAGCAGATTTGTGATTTTGTGTGAAAGGTATTGAAGGCAAGACTGCTTTAAGTAGCATGCTTTTGAATTTGTGAGTTTATGCATTGTGTTGATAAGCTTATGTTGTGTGTATCATTATTACGATGTTCAACATTTATTTCATAAAATAACATGGGTAATATAAGTTGTTGTTCCCGCAGCTGTGACTGGTGCAGTGGTCTCGGTTACCCTCCTCCTCATCGTGGTCATATGCAACCTTCATGGCTGGAGACAACGAACCAAACAATGTGCTTACCAAGCTGTCCCAAACAACTTTCCATAATTTGTATTTTTGTGTCAAAATGGAAATATTACCATGGCTCTTTATTTTATTTATTTTTGGGAAAGGGGGGAGGGGGGAACTGTGCCTAATTGTGAGCAATTTTATATATTTTGAGACGTCGTCCTTTACATAGAGTAACAATTTTAATTCACCTGTGGTGAAAATATAATGGTTGTGCATTATAGTCATTTATAATGTGGGTTGTGTGCTTCTTTATGGACAAATAACGTCACGTATACATTGTATGCTAATTATCTCGCCATGTTAGGCATTATGCCTGTTCTTTTAATCGACAGATATTTATTTTTGATACTCTTGATGAAGCAGTTGTTGGTTGCTTGCTGGGAATGCTGGACTGATCAAAGGTCTGTGGTTTAAGGATATTATATTTTAAATGCGTGCATAGGGTTATTTATAATGTGAAATTTAATGACCAAATTTGTTTGGTAAGGTAATCATGTGTATTGATATTTATAGAGTTGTGATTAAAGTTACTTGTGTACTTGTTACTCAAGCAGTGTGTATTTTGTTTTGTGATGTAACTAATTGTTTTAGTTGTTAGGTTTTTATAAATGTGTACACGTTATCTTGAAACCACATGCTAACATTTTGGGTAATGTTGCAGTAAATTTATATTCATTACTATGTGTTAGGTAATATCTGATAGTAAAGTCTTATTCTGTAAACATTTTATTTTGTTTAATAGGAAACAAATTTAGTATTGAAAAAGAATTGTTATACCGTGCCATATATCTGTGTGGATATACTACCTGTATCTTTTTTTTTATCATATGAGGGTAAAAATTTTAAATATTTTAAATGGGTAGCTGAAATTGATAAGAAACAAAGGCAGTGCATAAATTCACTGCAGTTTTAGAAATGTCTGTACCTTGTTTACTTTGTGTAGCGTCTAGGAGTAAAAGTTCCTTTACATAATATTGCAAGTACTGTATAAGCACCACATACTTGACCTTGTATTAATGGTCAAGCAGAAAGTTGAAACTACTCCCAGCTGTTTCTATGAGCCTAATATATCTGAGAAAGTGAATCCTGCTCCTTCAATACCCAGAGTAGAACTGTCCTTTAAAATTTTTTGTTAATTTTAATTAACAATATTATTACTGATAAATATTATTTTACATTATTGATTTATTTTTGTTTTCCTATTAATTTATTTAGGTATGTGTGGAGTAATACCATTTGATATTAATTTTATTATTTATGATAGAAAAGTTTGTAGGCAAAAGGGTTCATGCTCAAATGGATCTCGGGTTTAATTATTACATTAAGATGTATATTGAGAACAAAAAGATATTTAAATTTGTTTATGGAAAATATTTGCTTCTAATGAAACAGTGGAGTGCAGTGTACTGCCTTTCCTAGACAGCAAGTCTTGTTACTATGTGTATATCTGTGATAAAAGTTGTTCCAGCCTGCCCTTTTGGGGTTCATTTTAATGTTCTCGGCTGTTCATTGCACAACTATGTTATAATGTAGTATATAATGTAATTTGGGAATGTAACTGATGATCATCATTGTCAGGTTCTAGACCCAACAGGAGTGCTCCAGTGAAGCAATGTTTATCCTTAGTGATAACATTGTCATTAATGTTGATGCAGTGTTGCTGGGGAGCGTGGATCAGGTTATTCAGTACATTTCCAATATTATGTACAGTATTAATGCCTACTCATACTGCATACCTTTTTAAATGGTCTTGTAGATTTTTGGGGTTTGATAGTGTTCATAGTTTCTTGCATAAACTGTTTTTTCTGTATTCACCTTGTTGTGCTTGCGGGGGTTGAGCTCTGCTCTTTCCGCCCGCCTCTCGATTACCAATCAACCAACTGTTACTAACTACTAATTTTTTCTACACCCCCCATCCCCCAGGAAGAGGGGGGGGGGTTGTAAGGGGATGTGACAGCCTGTAATGGCTGTCTAACTACCAGGTACCTATTTACTGCTAGGTAACAGGGGCTTCAGGGTGAAAGAAACGACCCATTTTTGTTTCTGCCGGTGCCGGGAATCGAACCCCGGTCCACAGGACTACGTATCCAGCGTGCTGTCCACTCGGCCACCAGTGCCCTTTGGGGAGCCCCTTTGGCTCCCTGGAGTTATCGAGCTATGTGATGCATTAGACCCGGGAATTAGTCTATGGAGTTCAGTCTAACAAGAACCTCAAGCCAGAACCTGGTTCCCTCAGAGGTGCAGGGAGCAATGGCCCTGGAAAACCTCCTGTGGTTGGAAGTAATTTTTATATTCTTCCTTCTTTCAATGTTGCACCATTATTTTAAACCATTTTAATGTTTATTATAACCTGTAGATTTGCTTTATTAGCATTGATTAAATAATTCACCAGATATTTTAAATTGTTATTAGAGTACCTGAGGCTTGAAACTGCTTACACATTTAGTGAAGATGTATAGCTCTTTGTAGATTCCCACTATATTTTGTGTGTAGTGATCATATCTCCACTTTTCCTTGTATCTTTCAGCTTTGGCAAATTTAACACCTGTAGCCTCTCCTTGTAGCTATTAGTTTTTCAGTTTCAATAGGCACTTAGCAGTGTGTCTTTGCACTTTTTCCAGTTAATGTGCTTTTTGAGATATGGCACATCCTTACTTTGGTTTCACAAGTCTTGAACAATTTCTTTTAATACTTCACTGTCCATCAATTTAAATTTGATTCTGAAGTTAGAAAGCATAGCATAGGCTCCTCGCACAATATTCTTTGTGTTTAGTTTAGTATATTAAACCCAGACAGTTTAGTATCCAGAATCACCCCAGGGGTCTCATTCTTTGTCAGAATTCTTCAGTGCCTTTTCATATAATCTGCAAGTTGTGTAGGGCCTATATTCTTCTATTCCACATTCCATGACTTAGCATTTATTCACACTGAATTCCATCTACAAAGTGTTGTTCCATATACTGTACTTATTTGTCCAGATCATCTTGAAGGACATGACAATAATCTAAGTTTCTTATCTTTCCTAGTAAGTTAGCATCATCAGCAAACATATTCACATAATTGTGTTCCTTCTGGTAGATTGTTCAAATAAATGAGCATTACTGGTGCTAGAGCTGAATCCTGTTGTATTTCACTAGTAACATTTCTCCGGTCTGATACATTCTTTGATTACTGCCCCCAGGGTTTTTTTTTAATCCATGTCAGAAGTCTTCCTGTCATGCTTCTGGTGAACTGCTTTTCAGCCAAACACCAGCCATTCTTGGACTTTGTCCTGTGGTGGTTTTGTTTTTGTACTGATAACTTCATTAGCATGTGTTCTCCAGTTTTGTTTTGCATAGACCTGGCTTTTATTGCACTTGTAGCTTCATATGATCAAAGTTCTCTTCCATAATTGCTCCCTAGTGCTACCCTAGCACTGGCAGAGTTGTCTTCTCTGGTGTGTTCAGGAGTTTGCTCTCTTAGAGGTCTGTCCAGTTGAGGATACCACACCGGTCCTGTTGCCCCTCTGTCTAGGCCCCAGGTTGGAAGTGAGCATTGGCTGCTTGGGGCACACTGGTTACTCTCTCAATTGTACACACAACACAGTGAGGTCAGTCTTCACAGCCATATAGCCCAGGTTATTGGCTTACTATAGTGTATTATATTTGGCGCGTGTTCCCAATACCTGGGTGTTCTGCTTGGTTTGTTCTTCAGGCCATGGGAATTCCCAATGGGTTTGGTTTGGCCTCTGGATATTTCCTCTGAACCTGTTCTCATCTAGTGAGAGTGAGGGTTGTTGTCATCTGTGCCATAGGGCGACAATCATTCTTTCTGCCTCTACCATGCTGCCAGCTGGGCCAGACACCCGAGTCCTGTGGGGTTTGCTCTCCCCATGTGACTCTTCTATCCGACCTTCCTGACGACGCTGAAGTGAATTGAGCATCTTCTGCTTTCTTGGTTCATTTTGCTCACTTTCAGCAGTCTAGGTTGTATGTGGCTGGTTTAATGTTTTGGATCTTGCCCACCTTGTGATTACAGACTAGGAATTGGAGGTGTTGGTGAATACATTAGCTCTATCTGCACCACCTCTTCCTGTCCCCTTGGGTGTAGTTTCCCAGCTTCAGTTTTTTACTCCTGCTTCCGGCTCTGAAGTGTCTAAGGGTTGCAGTCATGGCAAGGTTTAGTTCGCGATGAGGATCGGCCATCTCTGGATGGTGGCTCCTTCCACTTTGTGTGCAGAGGCAGTTGACGTGGCTAGTCCTGGTCAACTGCCTAGTTTAATGGGATTCTGGCAGCCTGGTACTTGGATAATGTTCTTGGTCCTTGTCATGCCCAATGTTACCTTGTGTTGTCTCGATCTTGTCATGCCTGTAGTTTCTCCTCCCTGGTGGGTCCTCCTTTTCCGAGGAAGGTTAGCTTCAAGGAGTCGCACAGGGCTCCCTCTAGAAACCCAGCTTTGAATGTAATAATCTGGGTGAGCTTGGGTGGGTTGTGATCTTTTTGCTTTTGCTTCTGTTCCAGTGGACAGCATGAGCCCTGAGCTCTCCTCTTCTCCTCCTTCCCCAACCAGTGGAGGGGTAGGACAAATGATTGCATGTTGTTTCAAGAGATTTGATCATTTGTTTACACAGTTGGAGTTTAATAGTTTTCAGGCTTTGAACCTGGCAGTAATCTGTATTAGTTAAGACTTTCTGGATGCTTTCCCGGTGGGGTGGCAGCGTGTTACCCGATCCCTGCACCTCTGAGGGGGACCAGGTTTCAGCGCTGGTTCCTGATAGGCCAACAGAACCCCATGGCTGATGCAACATAGTACTTTACCTAAATTTACCTGAGGGACACTCTCACTAGTGGTCTTGATGAGGACAGGAAGCTGGCGGCTTATCAAAGCCACTCCCATTTCTCGTTATTTTTTCTAGCTGGATTTTGAAATTATTGGAATTAAACAATAATTAATGTCTTGGAATTATTTTTGCTGCCCAGTATTGAACTTCCTCCAATGCAGCTACATCTTTCTGAAGATGTCACCATGCTTGGGTACAATAATCCAAGTGGTGTTGGCTTGCACCAGAGATTTATACAGTTGAATAACTACCTTAGTCAAAAGTATGCTTTATTATTCCTAGTTTTTTTCTTCTTGCTGTTCCCACTTTTGCAACTTTCAGTGAATGATGAATTTTAACTCCAAGATCATTTTCTATCAATCTGCTTCAACGTAGGGATTTTTTTTTTTTTTTGTATATTTAAGCCACATTTTCTTCAGTCAGATTCATTCTAGTTTTCTTTGTTTTAACCATTGTACCCATTCTAGTACTCATCATTAATTCCTTGCTAGTTGTTCATGTGCTACCTTATCAAATGCTTTAGTAAAGTCCATGTATCCTAGATCTACCATAGATTCTCTCCACGAGCTTGCAGACGTGTGATGTTAAGCTGATCAGACGGTAGTTTTCTGTTGGGCTCTGCCTTTTTTTTAAAACGGGAGTGATATTTACATACTGTACTGTATTTCCAATCTAGGGGGAAACTATTCCTTGGTCCAGAGATTTTCTGCCTACCATCTCTTTCCTGCAAAACCACTATGGCTCTATCATAAAAACTAAAATTTATTACACAGGAATATCCTGTATAACTGAAGACTGAGATTAATGAATTTGCCATGAATCTTCTTCCGTTTCTTATGTTTTTCTTTACTTATGAAAAGTTGAAAAATTAACTTAATAAAGTTAATTTTGCAGTTTTATTATAGCCCAACACTAAGCATGCATTTCATTGACTGTGTCAACATTTTGAAAGGCATATTAAAAAGTAACTAATATGGCTGGAGCAGTTGAATATATGACATGTAATGTAGGCCAATAGGCCCACTGCAACTTGCTAATGTTGTACTGACGGGGTAGCCGTCAATCCCATGGTTTTTAATGATGGCTGGGGCAGTATGTTCCATCTTTGAGAACAAGATGGAACATCCAACATACTGCCCCAGCCATCATTAAAACATAGATAAGCAAGCTGCAGTGGGCCTATTGGGCCACTCTATACTTCCTCTGTTATATATTCAGCTGCTCCAGCCAAACATTTCTAACTTTCACCATGTTATACCATTTATTAAAGAAAGTTCAGTATAATTGAAGATACTGTATATGAAAAAATCGACAAGAGCCGCGATAAGGTTTCGAACTTACGCCCGGGATGATCCCAGACACTGCCTCGATCATCCCAGACGTAGGTTCGAACCCTCGTCACGGCCCTTGTAGATTTGTTCATTTGATACATCACGCTATTGTGATTTCTGTGTGTATTGAAGATATAATAAAGTATATGCAACTAGTGTTGTGTACAGTGTAAAGTAAAGTATGTGCAACAAAAATAATACATTAAATAAAATGCTCAAGAATTGTCAGTGCATTTTATAACTGCTGGAAAATAGTATTTTGAATATGCAGTTAAGTTAAAGCTAGAAGAGTGAGATACAGTTCATATTTTATTTTGTAAGAAATGGTGCATTAGTATTTATGAATGATGCCTCACTTTCCCACTCTTGATATTTGTTAATTCATAATTTCATATAAAATGTAATACAAACATTTATTGTTTTAGTTCCCAAGACTAGAATTGTATGTAAACAAAGCAAAGAGTTTAACAATGACATTAAACACTGTGATTCATTCAGTGGGCACTTCACTTTTGTACCATAAAATATAAATAAAAGGAAGCCATTTTTGAATTCGTAATTCCATAACATTTGATCATAGTAATTTTCTACAGCTCTTAAAATAGAGGTGTATTCAGGAACATTCTGTATGTGTGATTATACGTAGAAATTTTCATAACATGTATGAGAATATGATCCTGTGAATCAGGATCAATGTGTCTGGAAGACTGGATGCCAGATTGAGATACATTTGGCCTTTGTTGATGAGGAAAGGCTGAATCTAGAGCAAAGGCATCTGCAAACACATGGAGTAATGGGGAAGAATGGCGCCACGGAACCGAACCCCAAAAATAATGACGGGTAACCGTCAAGACCTGGGTAAATACTGGTACGATAATAGGGTTGTTGATTTGTGGAACCAATTACCCAGTACTGCGTAACAAAATATAAGTAGGATCCCTCGATGGTTTCAAGACATATATATGAATGAGATTGGATGGATATAAATAGGAACTACCTGATATGGTCTGGGTGTTACAAGAGGATTGATTTCCTTGTCCTAGTTCCCCCAAAGTTGGTAGTCTGGTCGAATTTCCTTCTTCAAAGGTGTAGTAGTCAGAGGTGGTAGATTCGTTCTTGAGGGACGACCATGTGAAGGATCCATCCTGCTTCCCTGCACTTATATTCCCAATAATTGTTGTGGATTATGGAGTTATGCTGTCTGTTCTCCTTGGAAAGTATGCGGCCTGATATACCCAGAGGCAGCATGGGAGCCGGTCAATCTGGTGGTTGGTGCCGGTGCAAGATCTGGAGGGAGAGATGATGCCTGGACAGCTGCATGAGGGGCAGGAGAGCCGGTGACATCAACTGAAGCATGGGAATCGATAGCCATCGTGGTCGGCTTCCTTGAGTTTCGTCTTCAGAATCAGTTGAATTATCAGTCGGTAAAGTCTTCGGAGTTGACTTCGTCATCCTGGTCAGCTGTCCTGGGTGCTGCTGCTGTCGCTGTCAGTAGAACAAGCTCAAGAACTGCCTAGTCACTGTGGCCAGACAGTGAGGGATCCCCGGGGTAGAGGGTTCGGTAGCAGTTGTGGAAGTTAGGTCATCGGGTACAGCAGCTGTCGGAAGTCCATTCGTGATGAGCAGACTGTTTATGATGTGGATGTAGCGGGTAATGTCATTGCACACCATTTTGTCATCTAGGTAAAAGAGTGAGCTTTGCGGAGGCTGCAGGCTGGGCCAGTGGTGCGAGAGCCGTGTGTTCCTGGGTAAGACCGATAACACACTAGAGTGGGTTTGCTGTCCCAAACCAGTAGACCCTCTTAAGACCATGCCCACCTTGCTCCCCCACCCCAGGCCCTTTCTGTGCCGTCACCCCAAGCTCCCTTTCATTCCCCAATCCTTTACCTCACAGCCCCACCATCCCAAACCCCGAGTCCTCCTTCCCAGACCCTCCACACCCTCATTGTACCCCCTATTCCAGGGGCATCAAAGGAAACTGAACCTAGACAAAAGAAAGTGAGCTTCAAAGTAATGTACAGTACTTAAATATAGATGGGATTACAAACAAAGCAAGTGAACTTAGGGAAGAACACAAGAAGATAACTTGGATGTAATAGGACTCGTGGAAACAAAACTGTCAGGAATCATTACAAATGCGGCGTTTCCCCAGGACTTATTACACTGTAATAAGAAAAAGAGAGAAGGAAGAGGAAGAAGCAGTGGCTCTACTGATGAGAAAAAAATGGCATTTCGAGATGGTTATCCCAGGCTGTGTGGATAGGGGGGGTTCAGAGACTACATAACAGGCACCATGATGTTAGGAGAACCAATAGTAGTACCAGTGATATATAAGCCTCCACCAAAATTGAGTATGGCAATTAATACCATAATAGACATGTGAAAGTTCTTTTGCAAATAAGAGTAGTAGATGGTTGAAACAAGTGAAGTGGTGGTGGAGGCAAAACCAAAAAAATAACAAATTGGTTTGTAATCTATATTGTTAAAATATCTGTACTGATAATTACTTACAAAATTTGAAGTCAATTACTTTAGGTGTAGTAAAGCACTTTTGATACTACTGGCCTATAGCCAAGGTAACATACTGTCAATTTTTCCAAGATGCCAACTATTTACCAAGAGGCCTGGGAAAGCAGATGTGAGCTAAATGTACTCGCAGAAATTCAAATGTTACACAAAACCTATAAACATATTGTGGACCATGGTTCAAACATCAAAAGATGTGATGCGCAGCACAAGAGTCAAGTGACAAATGAAGCAGTCAACTGCTGCTCTGTATGCTAGTGGAGTGTGGCAGTGCAAAATATATTGTGAATGACTGAATATTTTTTGTCTATATTTACCATTTTTCCTAAAGTGTTGTTGCCTAACCCACATGAAAATGCAAAAACAAGGTAATAAGGAATAGAAAACAAAAATCATCTTTTTTATTCAACAGTAAAAAAGTTACACCATATACATTCATAAATACTTTTCTGTACATAATATTTTTAATTATTTACAATTTGCATAGTGTACACTTCCAACTGCAATATGGGCAGTCAATATGACCATTAGATTCCATGATTATGAGCACATTGGGGTGAGGAAGAGCACTAATGTTGTAGTACTGTCCAAGGATCACACTGACTATTCACATTACACATTATTATCACAATGTGACACCGTAACACATACATGAAATTTGTCTTCACTTCTCTAAGTATTAAATCTCAATGTATATGAAATAAGTAACAACTATTGATAAATTGCAAAAGAATTGTACTTCTGTTATTGGCAGAGGATTTTCTATAATAGATTAATTATTTACATTACACAAAATTACAACAAACTTTTTTACAAAGCCTCAGTTATCTACAACAAGTTTTATGGAAGTTATTTATAACCATAACTAAATGTTATGTGAAAACTAGTTGCAGTATTATTTAGGATCTAGTTTCACTAGTTAATTTAGAATTACCATAATTAAATATTTACAAATTATTTATAATTCAGATATGCCCATTCTATGAAAGAAGCCAAAACATTAATGTTTTGGCTATGCACCATTATGATTTCTGGGATACATGATGGTCTAGGGACCAACAGGAAGCTAATGGCAAGATCAAGTAAACATCTTTTAATTATGAGGAAGGGAAGGGGTGGTAGTACCAAAGTAACATGGAATGGCATAAATTCAAGTTGGATACGAGTCAGAGAAGATCCTTTACTGGTTTGAAGACTGGCTCTTGCTTTAAAGTTGTGTTCCACATACTAACATCATGTTATAACAAAGTACAGAAATAAGAAGAAAAAGGTTAGTTAAGGCTAGAAAGAGAGAGAGAGAAGGGGGGGGAGGGAGAAGAAAAATCTTGAATAAGAGAAGCAATTAGCAACTTCTAGATAATGCACATCTAGGTCTCGTATGCAATATTTCAGACAAAATTAAACACGTTGTACACTCAGGAACAACGAAATAATAATATTATTGATATGATAATTAGTTTTCTAAACATGACTACACATCAAAGAAAACAAACACTGAGAAGTAAATTACATTTGTACTATGACATAACACAACAACTAATTTATTAGTTACATGATTTAACATCTACATTAACAAATGGGCGAGAACAAGTTTAATGTACTTGCTGCTGTTGCTTTAGACATTTCAATAAAATTAACAAAAAAACAGTTATTATGGACTATTCATGATAATTCATGATAATGAATAGTCCATGAAACACCTTAATATAATATGTGCTGAAAACGTATAGCAACTTGTAATTGGCTGACATTGCAACACCTCTTGATCACTAAATATACAAACAAAATTTGCAACATTTAACACAAATATATATCTTAAATTCTGTAGTAAACTCTGAGAATAAATTGCAGTATTGTATAATAAACAATCCACAATAAAACATGGACTGAAAGAAAGGCTACCAATTATATAACAATTAAATTAAACCTAAGCATTAAGTGTAGTAGTCCTTATGACTAATATAAAATTAAGTATATCTTCAATATAAACATATAATACCTTTCCACCATATATACAGAAAGCACACAAATATTTGCAAATCAAGAACTGTACTACAATACAGAATAGAGAACTGAGAACTTCAGAAGCCAGTTACTAATCTAAAATATGAGATCAGGTAAACTTATTTAACAGTTAATGGTAAATACAAATCTAAAGGCATGTCAAGGATTCTAACAGCAGCATCAATACAATAATCTTGGCAAAAAATAAAACATTAAAACTAAATTGGGTTGCATGATGTTAATTGATAAAATATTCTTCATCAGTAATTATTCAGACAGTTGTCTCAACTGATCAATTCAACGTCCTTCTCCTGTTTTGTGTACTGAAGGAACGCTCAAGTTTACAAACTCTCTTATTATGAAGCTCACTATTATTATAGGTATTTTATTTAGTTAAAATATTCTTGAGCCTCTGAGTATTGTGAATATAGTAAAGTATAACGAATTACAAAATCTTTATTAAGACCATCCCTGCATATTTGTAAAACAATACCATAGAACACCTCAGTGCATAAAATACATCCAATATCAATGTACTAATGTGACACAGTTTGCTCGCATTTTCTCTTAACGATTTTGTAACTTCACAAATAAAATTTCAAAACACTACTGTATTTAAAAAATTATCCCATCTTCTTTAAATAGAATTATACTGTACATTGTCATTGAGACTCTACCATTATTGCAAATTTTGTATAAATGTAAAACATTTTGAGAGTTGTAAAGTTATATAATGGAATTTTAAGTGATATATCTGGAGTCCATGACTTCTTTGATTTAGAGCACCTATTAAACAATTATACAACATACCAGCCAAATGATAATCTGGAAACAGATTATGAAACCTTATGTATTATTAATTTTATTATCAGGGATCATACTTTGCATTAGTAATGCTGTTAACAACGTCTCGAAGTTGAGAGACTAAGTTAAGGTGACGGGAGGCTTGAGAGCGACGGTGGGTAATGGGGCAGTCAATAGATATACACTCAACTTCTTGCAAACGGCACCCTAGGCACGTCTCACATACCTATTTGTGAGTAAAACATAAATGTTTAGAAACTTATTTATTCATAGCAGAACAACATAGCTTTTCCAAAGATTTACCTAATGACCCTACAAGATGTTGTATAAACTAAATATTCTTTTGTTTAATTGTACAAAAGCATTCAAGAAATGTATCGCATGATATGAATAGGAGTTTAACACTGTCACATGGTGTGATTTTGGCCTCAAAAACTTTTTTTTTTCTGACTCAACGCACACCCCTGAGTTGCCTGCAAATACATGTGAACAGCAGCTATTTGACTGTGTATGATGAATGCCTGCATTAACAAGCCAAGCCTCAATAATGGCATGTAGCAAAGATGAATTAACTACCAGACACAAAAGCCAATAAAAATGCAACTTTAATCCCTGCACTGCACACATGTTTCATGCATTAACTTTGTGCTACAGTTGTTAATGAATTATTAACATAATTCAATAATTTTAATTTCAAATTACAAAAAGTAAAAAAATCATTAACATTAAAACTTTGCTAAATTAAAAAAAATTTGCACCACCCATTCAGTTCCTTAAGGTACAATGTACAGTGCAATGGTTAAACATCTCTCTTCCTGCCATAGGAAACACACTATACCTCTGAGAAGGAAAGAAATGAAAGATCTGATTCAAAGACAACACTGACTCGGGTGGAGAATGAATGATACACAGACAAAAGAAAGTGCTAGCTAACTTAATAAAAAGGGGTTGAAGATATATCTGCCTGAAAAGTAAGAATGAAAGACTCAGCCAATGTATAAAATGAAAATGGAGAAAGTTCAGAGGTATGCCACCAGACTGGTGCCACAGCTGAGAGGTACAAGCTATGAGGAAAGACTAAAGAGTTAAACCTCACGTCACTGGAAGAAAAGAAATGGTGACACTGGTCGCCAAACACAAAACTAAGGGGAAAAAACACAGTGCAGACAAGGACAGACTATTTGGCATGGATTGTACATGAACAATGAGATACAAGAAAAGTACCCAAATGAGCCAAAGAGTTATTAAAAATAAATTTTCCAATGTCTGATTTGAAAACAAATAGAATGTGCTAAGAAATGAAGTGGTGGTTATCTTGAGGTTATCTTGAGATGATTTCGGGGCTTTAGAGTCCCCACGGCCCGGTCATCGACCAGGCCTCCACCTCCAGGAAGCAGCCCGTGACAGCTGACTAACACCCAGGTACCTATTTTACTGCTAGGTAACAGGGCATAGGGTGAAAGAAACTCTGCCCCTTGTTTCTCGCTGGCGCCCGGGATCAAACCTGGGACCACAGGATCACAATTCCAGCGTGCTGTCTGCTCGGCCGACCGGTAGTTTGCCCCCGACCGGTGGAGGCAAACTTCATACACAGCTTCAAATGAAAATATGACTGCCTAATAAGCTTTGGATTCTAAACATCAGTTAATTCATTCAGAACAATGAAGTTTCCTTAGATCTTCCACCATATGTATTCTCTTTCTAATTTTTGAACATACCTGTCAGTGACTACTGGGAATGAGGTTTAGCTATTTATGTCTAACCACCGCTCAGTGTTCTTTCGATTGTGGTTACGATACCTTTTCATTGGATCTAGTATACACTTCCTTTAATATTTCTCATGTTAATAAGTTATTTTATTGTGAAAATTTGTAACTTGACCTTCTAGTTTTCCATGTGCAATATATATTGTCTTATCTTCAGCATACCATTATGTATAGGTGTTGAATATTTCAAGCCATTACACAAAGCCATTCTCCAGATATAGCCTGGAACACAAATCCTGTGAAAAGCCTAAAATATTCCTATTGGGGATACATAATAATTATTTATAAAGTAGACACTAATAACAATACACTCACCTTATGAATGTGGCTTACTGCTCTCTCATAGTTGCGAATCTTTTCATTAAGTTTGATAACTGTGGCATGTGGACAAGTGTTGCAGGCTGAACACAGTCCACTTTGTGCTGAGGCGGTAGTGTTTGCCCCACAAGCCACACAGGCAGATGGAGTAAAGTATCCAATAATAGAATGAGTCCGAGAGCTACAACTCGCTCCTCCATGACTTAAGGTGGCCTCTGCTGCTAAGGAGGAAAATGTAGTTGAGGAAGGCCTTGGCAAGTCACTATACCTAAAATAAACAAAAGCACATTAATCTATAAAACCAAGACAAATAATTTATATTGAAAATGTTAACACATATTGCTTTATCTACAGTATATCTTAGAGAAGAGGGATAAACAAATTGTCTGTGTATGCAGAAACAAGTTTTGAGAATATAAGGTCAACAAAAATTCTTGTAATTTTTATCCTTTTGACCGAAATGCTCAGCTTTTGTTCAACATAAGGCACACTTTCCTGTGGCATTAGATTTCAATTTATCTTGATAAATAAAATGGAGGCCAAGTGCTTGGGGCTAGACTCACCAAAATATGCATGGGGGAATGATCTGGGGTATGAGATAGACATAAGCTGGTTGGGGCAGGCCTAAGTTAAATGTTTTATGAGATACTGGAAATTATAAAGATCCCTTGCCATTACCAGGAAGTGAAGGGTGGGAGTCACGTGTGAAATAAGTGTGTGATTAACAGTGAGCGAAAAGTTTTTCAATGTCATAATATAATTTCTTAGGCAGGCCTTCTTCTATATTTTCCACAACCCCCCTCTATTCATTTTTTCTTCTCAACATTCAGTCATTTCTGCACACATCTCAACACCTGCAGCTTTCCCACATTTCACTTTCTTTATTGATGTTAACCTCTTATATATAGTTACACCAACTGTGATAAAATTGAGCAACCAAAAATACTCACACAACCAAATCCTATCAAGTTCACATTTAGTACTTCAACACATCCCCCAAATAGACTATCTAAGCATTTTGTTACCTACTTCTAATCATCTCTTCACCAATTAACATTCTCTTCACTCCATCTTCAAGCGTTATCCTTTACCTATCCACCAGTCTCCCTGCTACACTTCCTGCTTTCTAAAAAGAGATTCCTATTTTTTTTTTGTCCCCATCTCCACTATTGCTCTGCTTTATTCTACTTTTTAACTAATCTTTTAATATATCTTTTACTTATATCATATTTTTATTTCATTCCCCCCCCCTCTCTCTCATTCACTTTATATCCATAAAATCCACCTATTGTTTACTTACCACTAAATGCTTTTGCCTCTTCCTAATTCCATCAAACAATTCATCTAATTCTTCTACCAGTTTATGCACCTTCCTTGGCATTCTTAATTAAACAATTCTTGTATACATCCCATGTGACACTAAGGTTCATTTGTAGTCTCTTTCTCCAAGATCAATATTAATTCTTCTCTTTGTTTTCTCTATTTCACATTTTCCACTTTTACTTATTATGTACTGGCTTCCTGTGAGGTATAAGTATGCTTTTCACCACTTAATCTTATCTTACCAAGCACCGGCATGGGATTAGACAAACCTTCATATATTTTTATAACTCCTTTCAAATCACACACACACACAAACATATTTCCTCAACAAGCACATAGTCAATTAAACTCATTTTGCATCATTTCACAATTTACTCCATGCCATGTACATTTAGAATATCCCAATATATAAAATATGCATTAATAATATTAATCTCTCCTTTATTGCATAAATATTTCAAACACCAACCATTCTCATTTATTTCTGCTCTATTGTCACTCATGCCATTCTCCTAGGTATCATCACAACAACAACATATATATAACCCTTAAAATATTTAAAAATACACCTTTCAAGTAACGAAATATTTGTAAAATACCTACCAATAATACTTGTATCTTACCAGGTCTTAACATCAACACCTAAAAGTGAGAAACATCTTTCTAAAGGTGGTAAAATGGCACGAGTGATGTAGTAAGTAGCATTGACACGAAGGGCTGGATTAGCCAAAACAACATCAGGCGAACGAACCAACTGGATAAGGGGCAGCCCAGGAGCCCCATAAACAATCACATATGGAACACGTTCACCTGTACGAGGCTCCTTCCGTCTGTCTTTGCGAATCCACTGTCTGTAATATTCATCATAAGATACAGAATTAAATTCTAGCAATAATAATCAAGAACATTATCAAACTTCAGGAGCTAATGCTTCTAAATATTTAGGTAATGAAAAAGTTTTACAATGTCATCCCCTATTCTGAACTACATTGTTCCAAGAATATTTTGGATTGATGTAAAATTCGAATCTTGAACGATTTTGCATTTTTTACTATCAATAAATGTTTGGGAGTTTTCTCATAGTAAACAATAGCACAGATCTTTGCATGTAGATAAATAATAATAAAATAACATGTAATGCAAAAACTAATTAGAAAAGGAAAAATTACAAAGAACGGCTTCTCAATCTTGTATCACATTTTGGTAATAAATGTATTAATTGAACATTAATTTACATTGAACCAGGATATACCATTATGACAATACAGTACTGTATATACAAAAATATAAGACAAAACACCGTGGTAATGATTCAATTACAGATACATTTACAGACTAAAACAAAATAAATAATCATTCAACACCAGATACATACTTGGTTAATTCAAGTGCAGGGACGCAAGCTCCGGGCCTGTATCCTTTTGATCCTCGATATTCCTTTGCAAATATCAGATCTTGAAGTGAAACACTGCCCTGAAGTAGTTTTTTAATTTGACGCTGAACAAAATCTTTCACCTGAGATATATCTCTGTCTTCAAACAGCAAATGGATTGATTTTTCCAGAATCTGAAAAAATTTAATTCTTTAAAAAATTAAAACGAGATATATTTTGATGTTAGTTGATCAAGGGTGGTATCCTAGTCACATCTCACATTACTGTACAAACTACTTTAATATGAAAGCTAATGTATATTCTAAACAAAAAGACACATCTTAACAATACATATACAGAGGAGTATTTTAAAATCAGAAGATAAAGAGGGGGGAGAGAAAAAGATATTAAGTGTCTTTCTCCCCAGTTAATGGTGAATGATGGCAAAATCATTTCTTGAATTAAACAGAACAATGGAAACCCCACACTGCATGAAACTGGAAATCTGCCCCCTCCTCCTCCTCCTGAGAGATTAATCAAGCACTTACCAGTAAGTCCATGTACACAAGAATGCCTGGTGCTACTCCACAAACAAGGCACAATCTGGCCATAAGCACTGGGGGCCCCATACCAAAACAAGTGGATCACAAGCACTAAACTAAATACCTATACAGTACTGTACTACTAACTACATCACTTCCTTCTGCAGGGTTTGTCTGATGAACGAGTCTCAAGGTACACTAAGATATGGAAAGACTAAAGAAGTCTATCCCAGGGAGGAATTGTCTGCGTCAGAGAAGAAAACTTTGTTCTCCAAAGACTTCACTAAATATATGCTTGCAAAGAGTACAGTGAAGCAGGAAACCCATCATTAAACCATAAAATAGAAGATAGCCCATTCACTTAACGAAATCAAATAAAATCTGTCTCGGAAGATGCCAGTCAGATGCCCAGTCCAAGTGAGTGTGAAGGGCTGGGTGGCACCAGACCCCTCAGTGACTGGCACTGCCATCTGCTAGAATTAAATGTAAACTAAAGCAAAGTTTACTTTGCTTTAGTTTCCATCTCAAAGTATGGTAGAGATAAAAGAAAACTGTGTGCTATAAATAAGTCAATAGTTTAAATACATGGGATGCAAAACTGACGAAAGAAATTTATACAAGTGAATTTGAGAGTGCAGTCAGTAGACCTGGTTAGACACAATATATGAAGACATGCAGTCAAAAGACTTCATGAATGAGTGAGTGTGTGTACCCTTTCGCACAGAGGTGAGATGCTAGAGTGGCATGTTGAAGTAACATGCACACTCAAATCTGTTGGTCATCTATCCCAGTGGAAATCTTCTCACTCACCTTAGCAACAGCTGGACACCCATCTCTTCTCACAGTTTCAATACCTTTGGCATCAAACACAGGTGCCTCTTGATCCGGGCTCTCGTACATGTAACCAACATAACGTTTTTTTGTCTGAATGAGAAAAAATAAAATGTCTGGAATGAAGTTGCAAATCACAGAAGAAGCATTTATTACAAATCTTAAAAAATAAAAAACAACATTGAATGTATGAAACGCCATTTTCTGGGTGAGCCCCGGAGGCTCCCTGGAGCTATATTAGTCTGGGGCTTCAGTCACATGGAGTTCTGCCTACCGGGAACCATGAGCCAGAACCTGGCTCCATCAGAGAGGAGCAGGGAGCAATGACCTATGAAAACTCAACTCCTTGAGAGTATATTCGTGCTGTCATAGACCGGGGTTAGGCATCCAGAAATGTAGAACCGAACCGAGCCCAAGAACTCCCCTCAAGAATAACAGCAATAAGCAAATCGTCATCATAATGACGCGCTGCTCGTTCACGCAGCCCCCAAATCCACCAAGACCAGGAGGTATTGCCATCAACCTTCGGTAGACGTTCGACCCAAAGTTACCTAAGACCTCTTGCACACTTGAGAACAAAGTCTCACACAGTCCCTTATATAGTTAATGAACCACTTTTTTTACCACACTGGAATTTCTCATACCCTCCTTTACCACATAACACCAACCTCCCCACTTGGGCCAGAGGCCTTATCCCTAGTACCAACCAACTTCTCAATTGATTCTGGCTCAATGAGATGATATAGGTCAACATGGACAATATCAATGAATTCCTCAGACCACAGAGAGACTGTAGACACCAAGCATGTCTCATTTCTGTTCATTCATAAGGAAGTTATGCCATGCAAGCAACCTGAAAGCATATCTCCTCAAATGAGTGGACATGAGCTTATGCTGAAAGATTCCCATTTCTCACACACAGTATAGATACACTGCATACCTATATATATCAATAACTGTATGTCGGTAGTTAACATTATATCTGCAGATATACTGTATATATCTGGCCAAATATTAGACAAGTTGTAAAAGTGTTTCAAGGCACATGGACAGAGGTCACACATTGCAATATAAGCCCTATTTCCTTAATTTGACTAAAGGGTCAAGAAATTAGGCAAACAGGATACCAAATTTGAAAGCAAAAAACTGTAGTGCCAATATTTTTTAACTGACAATATTTAACACAACCTTAATATTAGGAAACTGCTTTTGCATACACTAACCTGTAGAATGCATGGTAAGTAAACTTTCTCAAACTTGAGTTTGACAGGCTTGGGATACATCTGGGTTACTTGGTCCGCTATCTCATAACCTATTGTAAATGCTTGTTTCTTTGTTCTCCCAGGCAAGTGCACAAAGAGGGAATCTGTATCCCCATACACAACTTTTGCACGCCAAGAAGGATGAGAATTCACAAGCTGAATACATCGTTCAAGAGTTTCTCGCCCTTTGCTGACTACACTGTCCCCAATCTGCAAAAAATTTAAATGACAACCTGTAATTATAATAGATATGTGACAAATTAATATACATTAGGTAACTGAAAGCAAGTGCTCTCTCTCCTACCCAAGCATACCACAAAGAGAAGCAGCCAAGGTAGTGTCAGATTTCTATGATAACATGAAGGAAACAATTACAAGGGATCTCAAGTAATCTGGAGGAAACTAGACCTCCAGGTAGGAGTTAATAAAAGAATATCTGCTTCATGTAATGGAGGACACTCCTTGCTTTTGACAACAAAATGTACAGGCAAATAAAGGGAACTGTAAGTGTCAGTGTAGTAGCTGTGGAGATTTTGATGAACCAAGTTTTTTAATAAAAAAGAATAGAATACAACCCTGCTCCACTTCAAAGAATACCTTATCAACCTGGCTGTGACTCGTATTTCAGGCTGTAAGCTGCCGCATCGAACAGCCTGGTTGATCTGATTAGCAGCCAGAAGGAATGGTCAGAGATCTTCCGCATGGAAGTTGATCCTCAAAATCATGAATAGGTAGTCAACAGACATTTAGTGTCGTTATATACACTGTACGTGATATTTTCAGGATAATGAGTGGAGATACAGATACTGTAAATGATTTCCACAACTGGGCAACTGCAGTCCATCCAAATCTCAAAATTTACAATAGGTGCAAATTAGCTTAAACGAGATGCAGCATACAATTTTCATTACCCAAATAAGTTCACAAAGATACAATAGTGGTTTCAAGCTACAAAGGACAGTGTTGTCTCACTTCTCATTACTGGCTATTTATGCCCGTGCCACCTCTTGCATAGCTTAATCTTCATCAATCAATCAATCGTCTCGCTTCTCACCTTCGACCGTAATAGAAACTCTGAAGGGCACATTTAACATCCCACCTGGCAATGAGGAAGGTACATGACAAAAGAGGCAACATCCTTCACAAAATGATTCAGGGTCCACGGAAGGTGGGAACTGTGGGAGAGAATTATGTTCTCTCAGTTAGACATGTATCCCATGGCTGCTGTGCAATGCTGTTCACTGAACAACATTGGTTACTACCTTTATCTAAGGACACAAGTACCTCATGTAGGGTGTCTACAGATCAGGGATCGCATGAGAAGATATGGTATGTTTGGCGGCATACGATATCCTGTCATACTAGCAGATGGCAGGTATACAACTTGCCTGTATATCATGGTTGGTTCCCATCACCACAGGTTTAACTGTTGAGTATAGCAAGTAGCGAGAGAGGTCACAGATGACCTGCAGGTTTCAGTTCATCAACTAATTCAGTTTTTCTAATTTTTCACAAAATTAGAAAAACTACCTAGAACAAGGCACAAGAGCACAGCTACCAATAACCTAATCCTCTTTATCATTTCAACAAGAAAAGGCGAGAGATATCTATGACTAACCAGTTCATTCTTTGCCAAGGCATAATCAAGGAATACTCGGAACAATTTTCCAAACAAAGAGTAGTGAGATGGCATAACGAATTCTATTGCATAGTTACTGAAGCCATTGCTTGAAGAACAATGTCTAATGGATTGTGAAAAAATCAAATGGTGAAAGTACTGAAGTGCCCTTTTTCTGGTGACCCCCACTGACTCGCTGAGCTTTGGAATCGGTAGAGAATCTGCCTCACTCTACACAGTGAGAAGGAGAAGGGGATAGAGATCATCCACAGGGTAAAGACCAGTAAGCACAGAGAAAACAATTGAATGTTGGAAGGAAACCTCACCACCCAGTACTGCCATACTGTATACAATATTTAGACCATTTTGACACCACCTTGTTTTACAGCAAGTAAATTAAACATTTTCATTATACATTGTGTCTTATACACATATATATGGAATAAAGAGTTTACTCTTAGAGTGTATTAGAAAATGTTATGAATGTAACCACCATCCACAGCTTCAAGAGCATAAAGAAAAACTAGAACATTGAAAGATGTAAGATGATGGGGCCTCAAGAATCACATCCTACTCCCTGTATACACACAAAGACATGTATTTCTAGTCGTTCCTTAAAAATTTACGAATCCATTTTATTTATTCACAATAATTCAAAACTATACCTAATAGTGATGATCTTACCTCAGAACAAGGCATTCGGCCAGAGAAGTTTGCACTGGTATAGCCATAAGTGACATTGGCAATGAGCTTCAATCCCAACTGGCGAGAATGTAAAACACGCTGCAGTGAGGTGTCATCTTTGTATTCTTTCATCATCCTCTTTACCTAGAAAAAAAGAACATTTTTTCAATTATAGGAGGAACTTTTCTAATAATGTTATGTTAGCTTACTACAAGTGTTTGGATGTTATATTGTAAACACAACTGACGAAACCAAAGTTCATTCTAGGGTTATACGTCTTTGACACTATATTAAGGCATGTGTAAAAGTTTTTCTTAGTATTTATTACTAAAGGCAGAATAATAAATGCTGAAAGAACATGAAAAACAGTATCAGCATTGGGTTGGTTTAACAAGACAGCTTGGTGAAAGTTTCCAATTTGCCAATAAATTATCCATTAGCCTATTCTTTGCAGCCTAACAAAGATTCTAGTCCAATGCAATCTGCTTGAGCAAGGATACATTAATACACATAACATAATTTTACTCACCATAATTCTAGTGTTAAGTATCTCTTCTAACATACGAGGCAGAATCCCACGTCTTACACTTGAAGGAAGAAAGGCCACACCACAAGGGGATACATTCACCTGCGGACATAACAATTCTCTATACAATATCAGCATTATATACAAAAAAATGGTGTAAGTTACAATACTGTACTGCCAATTATAAATACATTAAACAAAATTTCTTACAAATCATGATATTATGAGCATAGAACAATATACTCACAAAAATGTTGATCTCCATATAACAGATCCCGCCACAAAACAAATCAAATCTATCCACCAAGTCTACACCCTCCAAAATTAAAAATTGTGTGTGACTTTTCTGTGGCATCCATCCCTACTGTGAGGGCATGCATTCCAATCACGTGTTTTCCTTGTGTGAGCGAGGTCTGACCTCTCAATACTCTGGCATTTTTTGTCACATTATATATTTTCAAATCTCCCATCCATATGGAAAACATCAAAAGGAACAAATACAGAGATAAAATCCCTACCAAACCTCACTTAGGTCAATACATTTATTGTAGTACAAATACAAACTGTACTGTATCTAAATAAAAGTTGCTCAAATGTGACAATTTCTAATTACTGTTAAATTATAGTATTTTACAAAATTACTCAATGTTAATAATTCAATTTGCAAACAGGTTACAATAATGTGAATTAGGAATTAATTCAAGTAATAATCTTAACCCCTTAGACAGCGGTTATCATTTGTTGATTCATAGGGGTAATGTGATTATCATCATATGACGATTTAAACAATTATTGTCTGGGTTTTGCATGTATTTTTTTAGATATATACAAGAGTTGTTACATTCTTGTACAGCCACTAGTACGCGTAGCGTTTCGGGCAAGTCCTTAATCCTATGGTCCCTGGAATACGATCCCCTGCTGCGAAGAATCGTTCGTATGATCGTATGAATGTATGATCCAAATATGGATATGAGCAATATTTCTTATACTCTCTGGGAGTACGCTAGACAACTGTGGACCTCTGAAGTTCATACAGTGTTCTCTGATTGTGCCTATGGCACCCGTGCTCTTCAATGGTTATATTCTGCATTTTCTTCCATATCGTCAACTCCAGTACATGTTGTTAATTTATCATGTAAGATTTGGGACCTGGCCCTCCAGTATTTTCCCTATGTATGTCATTTGATATCTTTCTCGTCTCCTCTCTAGGGGGTACATTTGGAGAGCAAAACAATATTTATGTTTTTTTATTCCCACCTAGCAAGAACTGAGGACTTTCAAAACATTATATATTTGAGAATGAGTTTAGGAAAAATACTCACCTCATCGACACACTTAGCAAGTTCATCTGGATGTACATGCAAATAAGTAGTGCCAAATTCCATAGGTTGAGGTCCATCAATTAAGTTGATTCGGCCAAGGCACGTGGAATAGCAATAGTTGTAAGCAATCATGATTGATGGGTAAAGACTTTGAAAGTCCAACACCACCACTGGGTCTGTGTAAAATCTGCAAAAAAGATATGCATTTAATATAAAACATAAAATAAGAAGAGCTCTTAGGAAATTAATGTCATTGAATACAAAGATTAAAGAAACAAAAAACCAGCTAATAAGGTGTTTGAAACAGGAATCTATTTTAGAAATACATTCTAAGAAATTAAAAGGAGGAGGATACAGACCAATGAAAGTTTGACGAGTGGAATGAAAAAAATGGAAATGTCAAAATAGCTGGTTTTGCTGATGTGAGGAGTGCAAGAAGATATTTTAATATCAGTGCAAAAGCTGGAACTATGGGAATGTTTCAGCTATTGATGAGGTGTACAGAAATTATTAGATGTAGCAAAAAGTGCCAAACAATTCATATCACTTGAGATTAAAATGGCCTCTGGTAAAAACTCTACAAATATCTTAAAATCTTTAACTGAATAGGTATATTCTGTGATAAGGGAAAAAGTGGTGTACCATTTGGAGAGGAGGATCCAATCAGCAGTAGGACAAATAATATCTCTCTTAATTAAAAGTATTGTTAGTAGTATTGTTTGAGCAACCTTTCAACATTCATAAGTGATAATATCTGAGAAAAGAACATATACAATTACAATAGCAATTTTTACCCAGTCACATTTGCATGTAAGACGAACATTCACTGCCACGTGACAGTCTTTCACATATTAAAAGCTCTACTCTCCCTCACTACTCCATTCATTCACTTTCTATCCAAATGTTAGATTACTTAGTCCATTCTGATCTTCATTCACACTTCCTCTGAAGTTTTGTTTTACATAAATCTAACACATCAAACAGCTGTTCCTAAAAACCTTTCATTATTTCTATTCACCCTTTGCTATTTATTTGGTGTTGTCATGCCACATGGCAGTACAAGACCATCCATACTTTCATCACAAGGTGTACAAAGTTGTTTGCAGTATATTGTGCTAGGTGATGGAGTAATCACATCCCTGCACAGTTGACTCAAATATTACAAGTATTTACAATTTCATATCTTTGAAGCATTAAAACTTGTATGGCATGTTTATGCCATATTTACTCAACTTTCCAAATGCTTTCAATACCACTCCAAAAATTTTGCATCATGCTTTTTCTTATTGTTTTGTAATAAAGCAATGCCAATAAAATGCTGAATCTGTTTAATCCACCAACTTTCTCTTATATGAAATTATCATGCAAACTTTGCACACATTACAAGTAGTACCTTGACTCTGGCTCCAAAGTAAGAGCAATCCACTCTGGTGCCTTCATGCTAGCTCTCTGATGAATGTTGGGGGATATAGCAACCATATTTGAGCCTCGGGCTAACCGCAGCATCATCGATTCGACCCGAAACTGAAAAAAATAAAAATATTAAATGAAAATAAGCACAATTAAAAATCACAATGTTATTTATGATATTCACAGCATGAGGTAGAGAGAGACAACACCCAGCCATTGTTTCCTGCATCTACACATCATGAAACAACCTATTGTTCCATTCTCATGTTCATTATGGTGCACAAACATGTAGATAGGTATATACAACGTGTGTGTGTATATAGTGTAATAACAGCAAAAACACTGTTTAATTGATCGCAGAATATAATATGCATGTCACATATGAGCCCCATAATTTTAAACATAGCAATGTTCCACACATTGAACTACTGTATATAAATTCCACAAATTACAATTTTTTTTAAATATTACAGCAAAAAAACAAAAAGAAACAAATAAGAAACATCAAAATACAGTAATTGTGAAAATTCATATTCGTGGCAACTGCCACCCCACGGGATGACGGGGTCGAGTGACCCTGAGCGCCTCAACTTCTCAGCTTCATCCAGGCTAAAGTATGTCACATCTAATATTTTATTTTAGTTTCCCCATGATCAGAGACTGCATTTTAACAATATAAAAAGAGAAAATAATTTTTTGGAAATAATTTATTTTCGGCGCACCACGGGGGGTGTCATATTTTAATGCAGTGCAGCACGGTGGTTAAGAACATGAAATTTGAAGAGAGGCTGGAGGAGTTAAATATGTCAAGATAGGAGAAAAAGAGGCAATACGATCATTATGTGTAAAACAGCAACAAGACTCTACAAAACAGATAAAACAGTTATTTTTTAAACCTGCAACTTCAAGAACAAGAGGTCAAAATTTTGAGCTAAGGAAACCAAGGTGACAAAAAATATAAGAAAGTTTTCTCTTGTGAACCGAGTTATAGACAGTTGGAACCAACTTATGATAATTTTAGACCAAAAATAAAGTCAGGTATTACACCCACCTGAGATCCACGTGCCAAGACATCATAAAACTGAATGCCAAAAAGTCTTGCAAGTTCTGCAGTTCGATGTATGAGATCAAGCCGGTGCAGGATGTCAATTGTGAGGCGACACCGATTTAAATAATGTTCCAAGGTGCGCCACCTGGAGAGAAAAACCTCTGAAGTTTACCTATAAATAGTTCTAGTACATATTCTCCCACATGACAAAAATTTTACAAGTAGGGTGTATTGTGAAAAGTATATCATAATAAAAGCATACTTTAAGCTTGAAAAAGATAATGTGTATTATTCTGCCACTTCCAAAGGCAGAATGCTATGGCAAAAATAAGCAACCGCAAAAAGACAGCATTGAATGTAATAAAACGTCATTTTCTGGGCGAAGAAAGGTTCTGGACTGACCGATAATCTATCTTAACACAGCCAGGATTACTTCCCCTGGTAGTAGCAGAATACTATAATCAGAGTGTAAATAACAATTATTTACCTTGTGATGTCCTGGCTCCACCAATCCGTCAGCTTATCATGAGAAAACGAAGGTACTCTGGTATGCAACACATGGTATGCAACATTATCCAGAGTGTAGCTTTGCAATGCCACCTAAAAATCAATTAAAACAATCTGATTATACTAATCAATATAATTTAATTATTATTACTGTTTCCCAATTTCATGGAATAGAGAGAAATTTGACCAGAGTAAAATAGTGAAAGTTACTGCATAGATATAAAATATTTTTTAGGTTGTTCATTAATATTATCAATTACACTATTTAATAAGATAAACGAGCAGTCGAAGCAGTCTTGTTTTTCAGTTCTGTAAGCCATTTTGTAGCATGCCTTTGTGCCTTTTCCAGTTTATTGATGTGCTTCTTGAGATATGGGCATCATACAACTGCTGCATATTGCGTGCGTGCGTGCGTGTGTGTGTGTATTTACCTAGTTGTGCTTGCGGAGGTTGAGCTCTGGCTCTTTCGGTCCGCCTCTCAATTGTCAATCAACTGGGTTTTTTTCACACTCGTCCCCCCACCCCCAGGAAGCAGCCCATAACAGCTGTCTAACTCTCACGTACCTATTTACTGCTAGGTGAACAGGGGCATCAGTGAAAGAAACCCTGCCCATTTGTTTCTGCCATCGGCGAGGATCGATCCCCGGTCCCTAGGATTACAAATCCCGAGTGCTCTCCACTCAGCCACCAGGCCCCAGGCCCCTCAGCCGTGTGTGTGTGTGTATAAAAGCAAACCTATATTGCCTTTATAGGTTAATATTTACCTCAGCTCTCATCAACCTCCAGACGTTAAGAACAATCCTGCCAGTCATGTGTATCTGAGACGTGTGATCAGCACCATATTCATCCTGCTCTTCATCATAATGGCTGCTGGTGCCCTCTGGAACTCTGGACAGCCGTGCTACTATCTCCATGCCCAGGGCTGCTCCACGCTCTAACAAGTAACCCCAAGATGACATCTGCACCTACAACACAGGTAATTCAACTAAGAAAAATTATGACTTTTTTAAAAAAATCTCAGATCAGACTAATTATTATAGCAATTATCTGTTTATTCATTTTTAATTAAAGCTTAGATAATTGCTATCATTAGATGGTAATTATCATTATTTTAAATACAAATAAATAATGAAAGAAATAGTTACAATTAAATTATATTTATTAAATGTATTTTAAGACTTAATAAAATTAAATCCCTTATTAAGGCACTAAAAAAAATTAAAAAATTCCTTGAACTTAATGATTTGGCCTAATATAAAACCAAACTGCGATTTGATGATAATCTTGTGGTATAAGATAATCTCATCATTGTAAAAAATTATTAACAATAGCAGAATTGTTTTCATTGGTCTAAGTTAATTTCTTTACATCCATATACTGTAGATGTATTACAACTACACCATTTGCACAAAAACAGGGTGACAATAATAAAAATTAGCATATAATGACAACCACATTACCCCCGAGGGATCAACACATGATGGTAACTGCACTTTAATTAGGGTCCCCAAAACAGAACAAGACAAAATTGAACGATATGAAAAATGGCAAGAAGAATTATTCTCCCAATTGTGAGGGCAAAATATATATATATCACAGACATGTTAAGGCTTGATAAACTACAGGAATATGAATTAAACACCAGACATGATTGAGTGTGACCAGACATCTTTAACAAGAGTGGATGTGCCCTGTGTATTCTTCCTGTAGCAAATAAAACTCATTAATGAATACACAATTAAAATTACCTCATATCCAACAAGCATATCTGGGTCCCAGGTAGTAATTAATTTGACAATTTCCTCTAGAAGGGCTATTTCATCATCCACATGAAGCACCGAGAGATCAGTAATACCAGTACGAGTTACTAGATCACACCCGCCACTGCTCACCAGGATTGCACCTTGACAATGAAAAATAAGATGTTAACATAATATAATATAGATTAAAAAACTTACCAAATACAGCAAAATTTTACTTGTTATATGCTAGTGCTGAATGTATACACACCTTTAAGTTTCTGAGGAGTTGGATGATCGTTTGGTACATCCTGAATAATGGTGAAGATCACAGCTGAGATGGGATCGAATAAGGGGTCGGGTAAGAGCCGAGGTCTAGTTGTCACGTGACACTCCATGCACATCACAGTCAGGAACTCATACTGCAAGACCAAACAAATTTACTTCATAAATAAAACACCAAAAGTAGATGAAAAGTTCTTTTGAAGCAAGCCATTGGGTCACTCCTTTAGGGAATGTTATGCACTCTCATTGATATAGCAAAATAAAGTACCAGCCAAGTCACTTCGATATTTATTTCTGCGACACAGCAGGGCTCTCTTCAATCCACCCCTGACGAGACATCATAAGTGAATGAAGATACTGCAAAATCTCACCCAATCCAGCCTGGCACAACCTCCAGAAGGTTCATCTACCTGCACTCAAAATATTTCCTCCAAGTAATATTCACTTTCAATATGCCACCTATCTTTGCTCTGCAAATTGCAAGTTGGCCACCTGGCCCCAAGATCAACCCACCACGTAAGAAGTGACAAAATAGGAGAACACAGGAAACGCCATGTGGTTTGCTCAGAAAGGAGCTTTTCATCTACACTCAAAGTCTTATTTCTAAGCTTAACCCATCTTTAACTATGCAGCAGCAACATTGGTTAAACAGCGAGAAGTGGGCCCAAGTAGCATCGCCATTCATACATGACAGTGTATGAATTGTACAAACCCTGGATTGAAATCCTGCATCCAATAATAAAAATTCTAGTGGCAGCAGGGGTTACCATAAGACACAAAGAACCCCATCTGACATACATAAATTACAAAATTTGGCTCAGTTCAGCCTTTTCAACTGCCTTCCAACCAATGTAGAAAAATGTCTGCTAAAACAATGGTAGAGGCTTTCAAGAAGGAGCTTTGTAAGTTTCTGATGGAATTACAGGATTAACCTGGCTGTGTTAGATATGTGGGCCTGTAGGCTATGAAGACAAACAGCATTACAGACCAAGCAATCATTGGGGAATCCTGGTCCCAGGCCTGGCTGCAAAAGTAGAACTCTAAAAAAGCTTCCACAGGGAGTCCACAGGTAAACCAATCGGCAGTTAGGAGAGCAATACTTGGAAATCCTTGAGAGGGTCGTAATGGTGAACAGGAAATGTCAACAGTTGCCTGGCAGTGTTAAGTTCTGTTCATAGGTGGACCAGTTCTTTTGGGAGAGATAAGGTGACTTTGTTCAGATTAAATTAAGGTTTCAGGATGAAATTCAGATACTTAATTTAGTGAGATTGGACTCCAAGGTACCTTTGTGTGTTGGTAGCAACTCCTTGGTGGTGTATTTAGGGTGAGAGAGAGAGAGAGAGAGTATGTTGGGAGAGACAGGGAGAGGGTGTAATGTAAGGAGAGACGGGGAGAGAGAGAGAGCATGTAGGGGGGGAAGGGAGTGGTAGTTTGGGGATGTCAAATTTATAATTGTCAGAGCAATACTTGGTGGCATATCTGGGGACCGAATATTACTTGTGAGAGATATTTGTAGTATAAATGAATGAACTTTTGGACGTTGTTATAGGTTTAATTGAGTAAGATTCTATAATATCTTCCCTTCCACCATTCATATCTTGGAGAGTTGCTGAAAAGAGCCATGCTTCATCAGGAAGGTGAAGAGCAAACTAAAATGGTTGATACAGTACTTTGTCAAGTTTATAAGAGAGTGGAACATTGCCTAAGATAGCGATGGAATGGGTTATGCCCAGAAAGACAAATTATATTGCCTAAAAATTTTGCTAGTGTAGTGTGAAATTAGTTTTATTATCTATTTACAATACATTCATATGTTTTGCAGACTGAATGACAAAACTGTTTACCAGATTTAAATAATAATGATAATAAAAATACAATAATCTAATTATTTAATAATAATTATAATACTGTACTGATGTACCCCTACTGGGGATCTACTTAATATACTAGACAAAATAATTACACAGTAATAAAATATGTTTGATTAATTTATCATTAAATAAAAACATGCACACATGCAAAGTGGTATGGGGTTTGAAGTTGGAAACACAAATGACCTCCTATGCTGTTGTCGCAGCATAGAAGGTCAAGAAACAGAATGCATCATCATAAGTAGTGAAAGCCGCCTCCAAGTTTATTACCAGTGCAAACACAACATAACTAGAACTTCAAGATACAGTATGTAAAAGCAGCAGGTATCAATAGCTAAGAGTCAAAGTGTTTAATAATAATAATAATAATAATAATAATAATAATAATAATTAAAGTGTCACATGTCACTAACTGTGCATATTGATAAATAAGAATTCACATACAGTGGAACCTCGGTTTACGAATGCCCCACCTTATAAATTTTTCAGTTTATGAGCTCAATTTCTTCGAAGAATTTGACTCTGTTTATGAGCTTTGCCTCGCTTGGCGTGTTTGTTGATACACATGTGGATCGCCCGAGTGTGTGATTCCTGGTGGCATGGGCAGGGCGCACTTCAGTTTACCAGTGAAGACTAAACCCCAATTAGCCAGGAGTGAGGCTATTTGTAGAATCGACTCCCACAAAGAAAGGAAACCTACACAACACCCCCAATCACTCAGACAATGGACCACCAAGGTTCAAATGAAATGATAATGAAGAGCAGAGTGCCCTCATAAGAAAGGAATGTGCCTAAGCTCCATCCAAACACCATGACGCCTATCACTGTGATGTGAGCCTGCCATAGACCATGGGCCCACATCCCCTGACTGAGGTGGTGAGAGCTGGAGACAGAACTCCAGCTATCGTCCAATGCATCTGTGGCACAGAGTGGAGAAAAAATTGTCTAAAGGACACCTGCTGAAAGAGGTAGGAAAGTGCCTTCAGCAAAGGCAAGCCTAGAAGTTAAACCATGCAGGCAAAATTCAAGCTGCCCAATATACACAATCTCAGCTGGAAAGCTTAGACCTTCCTAACACGAAAGTCAGTCAGGCAGCTACAGACTGCATCATAGAATAGGAAGGTAATTCTGAAAACCTGACCAACCCCAACTAATGCAGGACCTGAGAAGATATTAACCGGGACTTTCGCTTGTTAACCAGAGAGCAGAAGCAAATCAACTGGGAAAGAACTACATTCCAGACAAGCAGGCAAGCCAAAAGAGTGAAAACCCATACCAGCCAATTATTGAGGTAGGCCAGACCTTCGAACCCAAGAGAGCCTGGTGAAGATACTAAGAGCCAGATTCAGACCAAATGCCAGATCCTAAGAAAGATAGCAGAGGTGTCCCATTCTGAACTAAAGCCAATCCCTGAACTGCAGGTGAATGGTAATACTGTATGCCAATAGCCATCCCACAAATCCTGGAAAATGAGCTAAGAACAGCTTGACACCAACAAGCAACCCTAGGATATGGTGGGCATCCAAATAAAAGTATTCTGGATAGAGACATCTAAGAGGAAATGAGGTGAAGCATCTCACTTGGGAACAGGAAAGACTCTGGACATCACCTACAGGGACAACCCTGTACAACAATTTGCAAGTGATGGTGTGGGGTACAGACATAGATGGTTGAGGTGGTTCCAAAGATACCAGGGAGTAAAACCTTTATAATAAGACTAGGTATCTGGACCAAGCATACTGAAAAGCTCTCAGACAGTGTATCACAATTACTCTCATCTGGCCATCCAGCTACAATATATGGAACATCTGTTATTTGCCAGAGAAGGTAAATTTTTTGTTAACAAATTATTATTTGTTGTTCAATAAAATATGATCCTAATGTAATGCATAATATAACACAATACAGTACAATATTTTTAATTCCAAAAGATATACTTGACCATCCAACCAGCCAGCTATGAATTCACTCATCCATTCCTTGTCTATCCACGCTCACCCATCTCACACTTACTCACACTCACATATTTAAGCAAACTTACCCCGCCTGTTCACTTGACCGGTGAATTTGAATATACTGTATTACTTCAGTTATTTCAAGCTTTATCCATCCCATTTCTGAACAAAAATATGGTACTGTATCTTTAAAATGCATAATCTCTGTCAGAGCACTTATTGTTAACATGACAGTATTATACTTCCAAAAGCTTCAGAATACAACTTAACTCTGGACTGTACAGTAGATGAGCATTATAATAAATTAACCTACTTAACCCTTACACTGCACCAATTGCTATGGGGTTTTTTTGCCCATTTGTTTTGTTAACTTTTTAAAGAGTTAATTACAAAGGGTTAACTTGACTGTAAAGGGTTAATTTACAGGAGAGCCACAGTGTTTTGTTTACAGAAAATGTTAATAAAACTTTGTATATGAATTATGACCACAAATAATATCATAATGTTACGTATATGATGAAAGTCAAGAAATTTCAAAGCTAGGAATGCAACTGAAGCCAATTAATGTACAGTAGTTTAGATTTTCAAGATTACACTGTACACAGTGATCACATATGCCTCCAATTACTACAATAAACTTAAAAAGATTCTTCAGTTTTTTTAATAATTGAACTGGTGGTCAAAGTGTTACTCACACACAAGTACAACAACAAGAGCTTCATTAAAATCTATTAATAAGACTACGGAGTAAGTTAGAGATATGATGAAAAATTCAACATAATAAGAGAAAAATTGTTTAAAAAATAAGAAAAAATAAATACAGGTGACTCGATGAAAATGTTCGTGAACAGAGGAGAATTATCCATCAAACAAGTCTCGTCTTAATTACTATGCTTAGATTTAGGATTTATTTTAATTTATCAAGCCAACTGCATAAATTTTATCCAATATTTAAAATGAACACGTTAGTAGTTAAAATACTGAAGAAAAAAATCAGCCATACTTACAGATCTTGAACAAATCAATCCCATAAATTTTGACACTTGCCCCACAAGGACTGGAGAGGTGGCCACATGTGGAATCTTGTCCAGACATTTCTGCCACTCATCATCTCCAAACCTTCAAGTGTTAAAAACTCTGAAGTGACACTTGTAGAAGTACTTTGAGTGCTACTCTAGCTATCCAGTAAGTGAATCAGTTGGTGCTTGTTTGAACAAGAAAGAAGCGTGTGTAAAGCACAAGTTGTGACTCGGTAAGCATGCACAAGCAGGGTAGGTGGACGAATGGTGCAACACACAAGTAGACAAATGT